GGCAGTCTATGCAGAAGCGTACGCAAATGCGTGTTCAGAACTATGTTCAAGGGTGTGTACAGGTGTGCGTGCAGTGGTGCTTGTGTACAGGAGTGTGTGCATACGTGTGAAGAACTGTTAGAACACCGAAGCCGAAAATGGGTAACAAATGTGGTTTTACTACCTGAAAATACAAAGTGGTGCACTATCGGTCATGGTGGCCATTTTCTGTTTGGAATGTTGAATCATCACTGTAGATCGGAGCTTCGCTAGGGAATCCAATAGCATTAAGGATTACATTAACCAGTTCGACTAACCTTCAGATATTAGCAAGAATAAGGGAACAGCTTGTTGGATTCATAGAAGTATCAAGGGTCTAAGAAAAGATGGAAGGAACACTGTATTCCTTGACCATCTCTTCCACTCAAAGCTCTTGGCCATGGCATAGGCGTTATAACTAGTATCAAGCAAGTGGTTTGAGACTGAACTATTGGTTTACACCAGCAAGCAAACTCTGGTGATAACGCCAAGATGTCGAGAAAAAGATGTTCTCTGCAATTGGCACACAATACGAGGACGATCACCACACATCGAAACGAACTGCTTATAGTACAAAAAGAAGGATGTTGCGATATGAGCAAAACTCGGAACCTCAGAGGACTTCGTACACCCGATTACACTTACCGAAGCTTAAGTGCTAGCTACCACACCGACTGAGACGTTTGCTTTGACTTTTTCATCATCCTTGTGGTTCTAGTTTCCATCATACTCTATCATACGGGAAGAATAAGCAGTAAATACAAGTTAACAAATTGCTGAGATATTTGCAACACTCCAGACCGCAGGTGTCTGCGGTGAGGAACGAACGCGCTATTGTCCTTTCCGGGGAGTAACGCGTTCACCACCACACCATGCGGGTCATTCGCTTCGCGTGTCTCTCAGCTAGTTCTATCGATCAGTGCCGTTAGCAATCACCCGTCAACGGGATTGATCTGGGGTGTCCATATCGGCATTGAACCCCAGTTAAGCTGAGGCTGTAGTTGAATTCACAATGTTTAATTTTCATTTTCTGCCTTCTATAATTTTTATAGTAGGGTACTAAGCGATATTAAACGAAATACGACCACAAGATTGCTGAGATATAGCGCGTTCGTTCTCCACCGCAGACACCTGCGGTCGGGAGTTCTGCAAATGTCTTGCAATCTTGTATTTCGCTTAATACCCTGCTATAAAAATTATAGATGGCAGAAAATATAAAGTAAACATTGTTAACAAATTATGTTTTCGACTATAAGTTCAGCTTAACTGGTTTCAATGCCGGTTTGATCACTCCCGCCGAGTGATTCCGATAGCACCGATAGAGTATGGAACTGCCTAACAGAATGGTAAAGTCTTTAACGATGTTACCAATAGTTCATCGGTCCCACTAAGTGTAATCGTGCATTCGAAGCTCGACTGTTTCAAGTTTTGCTCACATCTCACTATACTTGTGGTTATAATTAAGATCGTATCAAAGAACGAGGAAGCATTAAGTAGAAGTTAAGACACTGTAGTATCCCTTCAAGGTAATAAATAATATATGAAATATGACTGTTCTTAGTAGTCTAATAGGGAAATCTGACACCTACTTGGAACAAATAGACTACTGACACTTTCTGAAAAAAAATAATAAATGGAGAATGATATAATACATGATACAGTGGCTGCCAGAAAATAGGTGAAGTCAGAGCAATGAAACCTCCCAACGGCTCACCGCCTCAACGTGGTTGGCGTGTTCCTGGGTGCTGCGGCAGAGTCTCCTAAGCTGATGAGTCCGGTATTTCCACTAGGAAACGCAGCTGAGAGTAAACCAATACTAGGATCTGCCACCGTCCTGGTACCAAAATAGTCGCATGGTGGCAAATCCCCCTCTGATTCACAAGAGCGGTGACTTCCCGTTGTAGCGACCTGGGGCAGAATTTGGCTAGGCCATCCTCGGGACTCCAGGAAACCACAATGGCTAAACCACCAAATCTCCGGAGAATGGAAATTGCGCTAAGGTCCGCACGACCAGTGAAGACGGGCTATCCAAATGACCAAGTGTGAAGTCAGAGCAGAAATAACAACTAGTGTATTATTTTCACCATCAATCGCTTCAAAACAAGTATCTGAACACTTTATGGACCGCTTTCCTACCTGCGCATTCCTTCATGTTCTCGCGCATATCACGTGACATACCAGACATCACTTTACTATATCACATATCATTTCCATACTTTATGAGCCACTCCAAGGAGATACCAGACCACACTCATATGTAAAAATTCAAACCGATGTCAAATCCAGTTCTTAAAACCTTGTAGAAAGAAATTCGACTATGGTCCAGTTGATCGTCTCAACTATGCGTAGTTCGCATATCAGTGAATCGATTTGCAAATGACAATGCATTACTGCTATAAAACAACCATTTTCATCAAAGAGCAATGTACCTCGGGCGAAGAACAAGGGATAAAACACTTAAAAAACGTTAATTCGAAAAAAACCGTAAATAATCAACGAAGTGCAGATGAAGTAAAAAGGCAACGAGCGATGTTACAATCTCAAACCGACTGGTGATGAAAGAGCGAAACAATTACGCAGCGTGAAAATCCCAGTAGCTAACCTCTGTAACAACGCACCCTGCGAAATTCATCATATAAATATGAGCCAAATACAAAGGGCACAACTGAAACATTGGAAAAATAAGATCAAATGTGTTCAGGGAGCTGAGTCGCCGCTCTGTAAGCCGCCAATATCTTCTGCTGAATAGCCTGAAATCAGAACGCAATATGTTCTTATTCGTATTTTGATAAATAGGTAGAACTGTTTAGAAAGTAAATCCGTAACAACTGGAACCAATCGATAAATGACTGCTTGGAAAAGAAACAATGAAGTCTGCATATCTATAAAATCTAAAAAGATAGGAAATATTCATAAAAACTAAAAAGACAGTAAATCCTGGTTAAAAAACACACACACACAAGTATATATATATACACATATATATACGTATATGTACACATATATATACACATACACAGATACACACACATATATATATATATATATATATATATATGTATATGATGTTCAACTTCCAAATAATTAGATACTCAGATGGGGCAACACATTCTTCATCCGTTCCTTTCCCTTGTGATGGTAATTCATTGTGCCGGTCATGTCAGAACGATGACGCAAAGTGAACCGAAAAAACGAATTCGTGTTCAATTCAATTCAATTCGTGTTGATGGTTCTTCTTAGGTTGTGTCCGTTTCAATTCGTTTCCATTTGTACCTCGTTCTCATGGAACGATGAATTTTTCTCACCTCATGATAATAAGGTTGTAAGCTACGAATCTCTTAATTATGCTTCGGATAGCCTTCAAAATACTTTTTGTCGTGACTCAGTAAGGTGGCGTGCTTCTGAGATAACTGGAGTGCCAAAACACATGTCGACATGAAATTAATGTGTAATTCCAAATCAATAAATTAGCTGCTGGCTTCTCAAATGGCCGAAATATGATCTACGGCATTTTCCCCTCTCTTAACTTTTTTTATTTACTGCCTATTACAATTATGGCAGGGTAACTCCGAACCGCAGGTGTCTGCACTGGGAAACGAACGCGTTATTACCGTTTTCGGGGTCTAACACGTTCTCCACCACACCATGCTGGTTCTTCGTTTCGCTGTTCTAGTTTTATTACCCCCGGAAAAGGTAATAGTGCGTTTGTTCTTCACCGCAGACACCTGTAGTCCGGAGTTTTGCAGATATCTCCACATCATTGTGATTTTTCTCTTTATTTGGTTTCTGAATGCCTGTCTAGTTTAATTGAATGTCCTAAAATGAAGAGCAATAGACTGACAATACATATATAGATAATAGTGCTTAGCGAACACGACTGACGTTCAATTACATGTTACCGTTCCTCTCTATGGCAGGTGTAGGCAAAGGCCAGCAATGATTTGCTCATTGTTGTTATTGTCGTACTCTCACTATTGGCACCTGTTGCACTACGAAATTATCCACTGCCTTAAGTTCGTCTCGATCGTTACGTATTGATTTTGCAACAAACTTCCACTTGACCATCCCCTGCCTAGAATCCTAACGCTCCACCCATCGCAATGCTGTCCCTACAACCTATTCTCCTTGATCATAGCATTTTATATGTACTATGTGATCCACATCGATGTGCAGTTTCGAATGCGCCGTACGTCCCGCCCGTTCGCAAACCGTATACGAGATCCACCACTGAATTATAGATCTATACGAACTTCAGGTCACTCTTTCGCCCGGCCATATTGTTCTTAACTAGCAATGTATAGTATCACTGTTTTTTCCTTGCATTACTTAAGTAATATAGCAGAAGACATCTCTCCATTACTGTTTATGTTCCTTATACCAACAGTCTCAATATCGTATTTAGTCACTACTGCATTGATATCGCTATATCCAAAACTTTGATTACCCAAGGTTAACACCTGGTGTTACCAGAAAAGTGGAAGGATCCACGTGGTAGAACGTATCGCACAAACGAGGGACTCCACTTTAACATGAATTGTGAATGAAATAAGTGATTTACGGATTCAATGATTGTCATCTCTTGAACTTCACGTGGACAAGACTGTTGGGAAGCATTTCCTTTTTTCATACAGGTGCCCACAAACTGCACCTTACTCTGCAATGGGGAGAATTGAATATTACTACTATAAAATATAAACTATACTACAAAGAAATGCCTTCCTTCATCCAACCGCACAATTTGAATAGATTGAGTACGTTATTGTGATCCCTATGTGTGACATACCGTCGAAAGACGTACCTCAGCATTAGGGAACGTGATAATCTTTCCTTCTGACGAACCAAATCCCAAAAAACCACGTTTCTTTTCCTGAAATTGTACAACGGAAATAAAACTGACTTCAAAAAGGTAAAATGCAAAGTCTATAGAAGGATTGACAGCTAAAAATCAGAATTTCATCGTTTAAATGATTTGCAGTAGTCAGTTAAATAGTGGGCAAAGTAAAGTATACAAAAGAAAAGCTAAGAGGTCTTACTTTATACATCACTTTAATTCCATCCTCCAAAATAACAGGTTCTTTGATGTCCAAATATTCCGCTTTCCACTCCGTCGCCCACGTTCCCACCAAGTCGGTTCGTTTCGCCAACACCTTCAATTGAATGATGTATGCTAATACTATCAACGAAGAAAACATATGAATATCAAGCATGAGAATTTGCTCGATATCTACCGAAATTTCGAAACTTGAAAGTTTAAATGGAATTCTGTAATTCAGTCCTCTAATACTTACGTACAGTAATTTGCTCCCAACCCAGTCATTATACTCATGGCCCAGTCTGTCTTACACGCACAAAATTGAATCCTAGCTCAGATTTGCAGGCTTTCAGAAATGTACAATTTTTACTTGCCGATTTCACTGAGGGATGCTCAGCCTACTAGTTACAAGGCCATGTGGCTCGCTCTCAAGTGGACAATTGAAGTTAAAGTCGAATGAAAGGTGCCTTTACGTTGAACCTTATACGCGTGAACTCACGGTGTGAACTCCGTCTTTACCGGAGTGACATATGCCAGCTGAGCGTGTGTACATGTGGTTCCACACTAGCGTCTATTGGTGTGCTTATGTACATGCGGATTGTTCCATGCGAATCCGCTCAATCAGAAACTTAAGGTAATGTTCCGACATCGCTGTTCTGCCAAGGTTTTGCAAATAAGTGGAACATCGCCTACATAGAACGAGTTTCATGTAAAGGGAGGAAAGCAATAAAGTTCAAGAGACGAAACCATAACCGCTACAGATTGGAAGTTGTTTATTTTTTTAGGTGACTTTTGACTGCTATCGACAACTCGAATAAGGAATATAATCAGCTCTTCAGTAGTTCCTCGATGATGGTAGAAACGCCAAAACTTTAAACCTAACAAAAGACAGCTATCTTTAGGAACCAATGTGGTACTGCAACGACTCCAAACCTCTAAAAAAAAGCGGTAAGGAGAATAAGGAGAAAACAGCAGTACTGCATTGAATGTGCAACGAATAAAAAGAATAAGCACTCTTCAACGTCCGGAACGAAACACGCCACATAACCAATCTATCTAAAAGGGCAATCTGGAAGTCCATTCACAACATCTATTCCGATCTCTTTGACAGCCACATCCGTCTACATCTCCATCAGATCAAGGATATGTTGCACAAACTTTTCTTTTTTCCGAAGACCATCAATGAAAAAGAACTCAGCACATGGTTCGGAAGAAAATACCTCGAAGAACCTGTCTCACAGCCTCTTGCTTGAAGAAACTGCGCTTAAGAACACAGTGGAAAATCAAACCAGCCTTGTTGCATGAAAAAGGAAACCTGCAGAATAGTGGCAACTGTCACAGAATTTAGTTGCTTCTGTTACCTACAAGAACTTTACTCGAGTCATTCTCAACAAAATTAGTAGCACTGAACCAAAGTTAGCAAGCACGGTTTCCAAAAAGGTTTGGCACGATAGGTCATACTCATCCAATATCCTAACTGAATGAAAGTATAAGATGCCATTTGCTTCATTTTCACCAAATTCGAGCATTAATCCGATTCAGCTGAAATAGTCAGTATGCGTGCTCGGATACAAAGATTCTTCATACGAACGCAGCAGCGATATACTCGGGATTCTGCCATTTTATAACATTACATCGTAGGATATGGGCACGATAAGGCGATACCATCTCAGCAACATTACTCTTCATTAGTCTCAAGAAATAGTGCACTGGTAATGAAAAGGCCTGTTTTTTTTTTGAAGGTCAGATGAAATTTAATCCGATCACATAAAAAAATTATTCCACCTTGAAAGCTGTTTAGCCAAAACGGAACCGGATAACATCCAGTTTTTACGTTATAAATTTCTTTTCTTCAAGTTTTCAAATAAATTAACCATTTGTATTCACGAATCTGACTCAAAAATCCAATGCTTCCTAGCAATAAATAGTCCAGCAATTAAAGTGCTTTATATCCCATAGGAAAGGTTTACACGAAGAAGATACCGAAATACAGTTTGATAAGTGCTACAATTCCAGTACGTAGCTTGAAAATATCTGGTAAAGATAGAATAATGCGCATAGAAAACTTACTAATTGCATGTTTGTGACAAGTAGAACGATTTTGTCCGTGATCTGAACATATGTGACGAAATTGTCCGTCTCAGCAAGCTCACCTCGGTCAACATCCTATGCAAATAAATGCTTTCAGGTGTAGATATTGTAAACACATTCATGTATGCTTTCGGTAATTACTGAGTGAGTCAAGCGATCAAATATTAAAGCCCAAATTGGTTCTCTCACGTGGTAGTTCTGCAAGATTCTCTTCTCGGTTGAGGGACACCAACTACATCTTATTTTACATGAGAGCCTTTATTTCCGCGGTTTAAGGATGGAGGCACTACACGTAAGAATCTGGTATTGTAGATATGTATAAATAGAAAAGTAGGTAGGCGACCTTTAAGACGACTCTAAAATACATACGTTCACACATACGTATTTGACCAGCGATTAACCCATAATCTCCAATTGAACAATCTGCACATGATGCACAAAGTGACTAACCTATACTTGGATACTTCGATGGCCCGTACTCATTGATTGCGCCGACCTTAGCATAATCTCCACCTTCTCGGAGTCTTGCTAGTCTAACCATTGCGGTTCCCTGGAGTCCCGAGGTCAGCCTAGCCAAAGTGTGCCCCAGGTCGTCATCGCCACAAGCAATCGTCACTCTTGTGGATCAGAGGGAGATTTGCCACCATGCGACCATGACACCAGGACGGTCGCGGATCCTGGTATTGGTTTACGCTTAGCTGAGCTTCCTAATGGAAATGCCGTACTCTTTCCCAGCTTAGGAACCCCTCTTGGAAGGGTGGAACCTCCACTGTACATTGCAGCCCGACACATAGGAACAGCTCCCAGGCACGATGAAGCGGTAAATCGTTGGGGTAAAATACTAGTAGAGGATACAAATGCGCTCACAAAAGTGCAACAGATGCGGGTATAAAACTGTAATGAAAATATCCAAACTATATTCTAAGCCAACCAATCCGTTTTCCCGACTAATTTTTTTTCAATCCCGTAAAGAAACTTATCGCCAGCGCTTTCCTCGACAGCTGAAAGATTTAATAATATCTCACCACACTAGTGACTCTGTTAACGCAATATCTTCCTAAATAAGACCAATTGCCGCACAAGGCACTAGGTGAGACAATACAGTCGAAAATTTCAGGAGATCCTACGAACGACAGAGAGCTAAACTTGCCGATGCCATAATGATTACGGTTAAGAGATGACAAATAATAATTGCGAGGCATATTGTGTGAAATAAAAATGTGTGTCCCAAGCAACCCAGCAATTATGAAACGTAAATAAAATGGCCCACTATAATACTTGAAAAGAGAATGTATAAAATTATACAATTTTATAAACTCACATTGAAAATCTTGAATCCAAGCGCCTCATGAAAACTGAACGGTCGCACGATATGATCAGATAGAATAACTCGAGGGGGTCTAAGTGCTCCTGCTTCTTTGTCTGCTCCTGCCACAGTACGTACTGAGTGCATAGTGCTACTTGCAAAGTCAACTACGCCAGACACTGGACGAGTCACAGCACCAATCAAACCCTGAAAAACAAAGTTTGAAGATATCACATTGCATACAGAACTTCGGACTTCATTTTATAAACAGGTTTTACGACGAGAAATCAACTCATTTCAGTTACACCTATTTAATTTTTCACCGCTCATTACTAACTTGGACTGTAATTTCCCACTTTTTTATCTCCAATTTACAAACGATATTATACTATCCGCAAAAATATTCCCATATTAAAGCACTTTCAAGTGGAAAAACTTCTATTGGATAGAATGTCAGTTCTGTAGTTGCACTAGAACTGATCAAAGAATAATGAGTAATAAACTAGAAAGCAATGAAAATCGAAAAAGCAGACGGAAAAATCCTATTATAATGCAGGAAATGTTGAATGAAGTGACGATCGAGAACTGGAGTAAAGTATTCATAAACCACAACTATAAACACCTGCATCTCAATCAGTGACCTATACTGGCACCAGTAGTTTCTACCCCGCACGTGCAAAGCCATAATTGTCCGGTGGAATAAATTTGATGCGGTATCAACAGCATCCTATTTTCAACACAGGCTCCTCATGAAGAAGTCAGGAATCCAGTACTTTATAGCTCTTACCCACCGGTTGTCATTAACACTCACAAAGCAATTGAGTGCGGTCCAAATGGTGTTCAATATATCAGCGTACGTTGGAATGCGAATGATTTTTTAATGGCCTAGGTAGATACGACCTATGAATTCCCTTTTTGCCTCACGATACTTTCTGAGCCTCAGTCTCTCAGAAACTCCCTCCTTCAGCAACGATGACCACATTTGCTCCCCACTTAGGACTCATCCAGATTTCCGAAACTTACATTAAGACGTCATGAATAGTAGAGTTGAAAACAAGAACATGGAGTTAAGTGGTTTTCGTTCTCTTCAAAAAATTTTTGATGGCTTTATAGTTTCTCAAAATCGTGCATTCCCTCCTGCTCAGTTCGGCAGCTTTCGTTCAGCAAGACACAACGACGTTCTCTAATTTAAAGGTACTTTTTACAGAGCCCATGCCTACGTAGGAAACATCGAAAAATCTAACCTATACTTTCAGTTTTTTCAAACGTTCATTACGTTCAATGTAATTTAAAATTGAAAGAATATATTATAGAAGTTATGTGTGCTCTCAGTACTGTACTCTCTGTACCCTGTGTAAAGCCTCCTCTGCAACTCTCTGAAGCTCTCAACTCAACTCAACTACCAATTTTTCCATAATCAAGAGACTGTCACGGTTTTTACTGCTTACATTTAGACGAAAGTTATCCAATTTCAGAACTAACTTGATGTAACACCGAAGCAACTTTCACTGACCTTTCCAATGCCCTTGACAAATCCAACCCCGCCTTCCTGTTTTGCTCCTTCTATTGGCTTCATAACAATGCCAGTGATACCGCTTACTAAACCCGTGCCGAGACCCTTTACTCCTCTTGCCATTCCCTCACTAAAGGACTGAGGTCGACGATTAAGGTCTTCCTGGAATAATTCGATGATGAAACCTCGGTTATCAAATTTACCGTGTTATACACCTGTCGTTTCCTTTGATATTCTTGGTCAAACGTCAGGGCAGCTACTCCCTTGCCAACAGTTCCAGTGATTCGGCCTACCGCTCCAGCTGCTCCGCCCACAGCATGCCCAAACATTGACTGTACACCCAAAGCCACACCAGTGGCAAACTCCTAGAAAGAAACCGAATTAGATTGAAAAAACTCATATATTGCACAAAATATTCAAAGAGCATAGATTTCTGCGTTGTAAAAAGTGAAGCATATATACGAAAAAGACACCTCCGGTCCTTGTATAAGTCCTTGGAACGGTTGATAAAAAAGATCTTCAACTCCAGCTGACAGATCACGAACTAGTCCGAATGGGTTACCAATTATATCAAGACCAAGCACCAAAACATACATCTAAATAAGTAGTGTATTACAGTAGCAGATGAAGTACTGAAACATCGATGAAATACTCAACAAATGCATTAAAGATCAAAAAAGCTGAAGAATTACTTCAGATAAATTGGCTGTAGAAGTTTCACCTCAAAAAACTTCAATGAATTAACTCCATGTTCACCTGACGTAAAGCTTGCATCGTATAATGCGAAACTATTTCTGCATTTAATTGATCCGAACCATAGAAAACTTTGTTACGTTCAAAATACGCCAGCCTAGAATGCTGCATAGTTGGACTTTCACCGACCTATGAAATATCTAGAGTCACATACTTGAAAACCACATCTTGTAATTCTGTGATAGATACACCAATACTCTGGAATAAAACTTTGAAGAATTCGGATTCAATTGGCATAATCGGAGCGGAACCATCTCCTCCAGCAGTACCACCTTGTGAAAATGACAGATGGATCTGTAATGATATATAACAATATCGTTGAAAGTTCCTATTACCTGTATATGAAAGTATAGAAAATAGTTAAGACTATTGACAAATCACAGAAAACTGAGCTATCGCTTTATCATCTCATCGAAAAAGTTGCTGGCGCGTGTGGCGCAGTGGTCGGAGACGCCCTGCAACACACACATGGGACCGATTTTCGCGTCCTTGGCCCATTAAGCCTTCCATCCGTCGCTGGTCGGCAAACTGGAGTCAGACTTGTCTTGGAGAATAGCTGCAGTGGTTCGATACATCGCTAGGGCAGTGCGAGTAATCAACGCCCAGATTTTTACTCTTTTTTTCACCTTGAACAGTCATGAGTGCACAGAATTGCAGCTTCTTCAACAATTTGTATGAACAACTAGCTAATGAATAACTTGACGCATTGTTTTCTCACAAATGTGCATAACGTTGTCAAGCCAAAACATAACCGTCCAAGCTAGAAAATGCCGCTAGGCATTAAACTATACCATCATCATTGCGTGAAAGCCGCACCGAAAACATAAGTCGCAATGATGTTCGTAGACCTACCATGAGTGGTGAAATATGAAGATCGTTATAGAAACTCCTCGGCTGATTTGATCGATACTGCTTCGCAGTGTCTTCCAAACGGACTAGTGCCGTTTCCATATCAGACAGAAACAATTGCTTCTAGAACTCGCAATATATTATTGCAGCGTAGCGATAGGTGAAGATCACTTACCCCATATGGCTGCTTTTTAATTTCGGCGGCAAATAATGCCATAATAGCATTGATTAGACCCTGGTCAATCTGAACAGCAAACTCCTGTACCAAAGCTCGGGCGTATTCAATCTCCGCGATGGAAGAATACTCTGACTTTCGTTGCAGTAATGACAGCTCAATGAAAGGTTTCGGCGCTAAAATTATGACTGGAAGGTAGTTAAATAAATCAGCACAAAGAAAAGGCAAACAACCACAATGGTAAAAATAAATCAGGATAATCATAAGCAGTAAACGACGGTATCATGAGGATAAAGAATCATATTCGTACCATTGTCAACGATAACACTTTTTGGAGGTGGGATATTGGTGAGCACTCGAGGGAAGACGCATGTTCCAAGCTAAAGTTGTCAAAGTTGAGCAACTTTTGAATGATCAACATCTGATGTTTCTCATCCACTCAGAATGTAAAAACACAATTAATTCAGTAACTGCACTTTTACAACAATCTGCAGCAATAACGCCTCAATTAACAACCAAGGAGAAAGAAATAGTAAAATGTTACTAACCTGGTTATCAATTTGCAGATGGTTCACCTTAAGATGAAGTCTTGTCCTCTCGGCACTTGTACCATAGTTAGCCCATATACCTAGAAAGAGTAGAAATTCAACAGAAAAAGAAGAAACAGCATACAGTAAAGAAGAATTACCTTTTTCAAAAATTCGGCGTATCTTGACTTCCTTGTTCTTCTTCTTTTTCATAATCATATTTGCAAAGGATACTTCATATTGTTGGACTTGCTATGGATGAACAAGTGTTGTTATTGCAATGAAATTCCTGATAAACAAAATGATACCTGAAATCCATTTTTTGGCTCCGCCAGGTATTCCTGATATTTCTCTTCTAGGGCTTGCATGTATTTTACTGTAAATGGCTTAAATCTGCCTTTCCGTACTTCTTCCTCCCATAAAATATCAGAAGATGAAATGCCGATGTATAGTAACTGAAGTGCAGTTTAAACTACTTTACAACAGATGACAACTGTAATCATAACTAGGAAAAATAACCACAATTGTTCGCAACGGTAAACCTTATGCATAACGTACTATTCGAAACTATTTAGGAACTTTCAATTTGCTCACAGCACTAAGGTAATCGATATCCATTTGCCCTTGCAACAACTCATGTGTAGTAACATTGAATTCAAAACAACCTCCTTCAAAGGTAGTCTTACGACAATTTGCAGTACTACCTTTAGTTTTCACTATGCTTACCGAATTTGTAAATGGACTTTATTTTTCGCAGTTGATCACTTTGATACTATAATCTCCACTCTTGATTTCTTTAAAACCTTCCTATATATGCTGATAAGTAAACAATGAAATATACTAAACACATAGATCCCTTACCTCTTTACCGATAGAATTATCCACTAAGGACAATCCTACACCTTGTAGTGCAAGTTCAACTTGCATATTCACGGTATCTGTCTCCCAAGAGCCATAGGCAGCACGGGCTATGTCTAGATCCATGGTGAATAATAAGAACCGCTGCCTTCCGATGAGAAAGTTAGCGAGGTAGGCGAATCTTAACAATTCAATGCCTTTCAATCTTTTTATTAGGTTGAGTAAGCAAAGATACATTTTTTCACTCAATGAAGCTTTATATATCGGATACATATACGGGATGGGGGAACAGAACAATGGGAGAGGAGCAACGAGACTTCTTTTCGTCCCTGCCTACTATGGTTTTAAGGCTTATTTTATACATCTGTATATAAACATGCACATATATATGTGTATATATATATATACACATACATATATACACTTTACAGGACACGTCCTTCACAACTACTGTGCAAATCGCAGCACTTTCTGCATTCGATTTATTAACTTCCATCCATTATCCGCGAAAACCTACTTTTTACATGTTTCCAAAACATGGGAATTGAGTTAACGTTGCTGTTTCTTTCTGAAATGGACTTTTTGGTTTGAAATCTAAACGCGTTACAAACATGACTGCGCATACTACCGTGTAAAAGCATGGCCAGCTAGTGTCACGTTATGAAGTATGGAGATTCGTTGTTCAAGTTCAAGGAGTATGCAAGACCGTTCAGATACTCGCAACTACGTTTAATTTAGCTTTTTTGAGGAGTGCGTGACGCGTAATTTTTTGTTGTGCCAACTGTAACACTTATGGATATAACAGCGGCCATTCCAGTCGTTGTTAGTTAGCTCCGTCCTCTTTCACTATGATTTTTGTTCTTGTAATCGATTTTTTCCCTGCGTTTTCAAAGAATTTCTGCTTTTCTCTTATGCTTTGTATGCTCGTTCCTCTATACACTTTTTGGTGAACATATCGCTTGTGTGCGTTGAAAACTCCAAAACACTCGTCCACCTTGCAATCATACTGCGTTCGTCATTTAACGAAGTTGTACAAGTTGTGTAAGGAATACTATAATGTTGACTTTGTGGTTTTCATATCGTCTCATTCCATATAATACTCACGACTCATCATAAAAGGCTAAAGGATAGAGCTGTCAGCGTTGATCAATCCCTGAGGGAGACATCATGCATCCGACTTCCGTAAGCACCGTTAGAGGTGATTGAATGCATATCTGGTCTTTGCAATGGCTCGAAGTGGCATACCGATGAATCGAGCCAGTGCCGCTACCCTCCTATACAAGTTCGGTACCAATTTGTCAAACGCGGAGCGATGAAAGGCTCCGTGAGCCTGCGGCGCGGTATCGATCCCATGTGTATTGCAGAGCACCTCCGACCACTGCGCTAAACGCCTCCTTCCAGTCATCATAGCAGTTGAAAACTAGAAATCAATAGATCGTTTGTCAAAAATGACGCTGCACATTCTATGCGGTGTCATTTCCTCGTAGGACATGCATTTTTGCACCCTTTTACTGATCACACTCGCTTCGACAGCAAAAATTTGTCGTTCTAGGAAATGCGAAATGATAAAAAAAAAAGTGGAAAATTATTACACTATCACCTCTCCATGGTCGAACTCCGCCATGACATCTAGCTGGACAAGCTATCGATTGATTACAAGAACTCTAGGAAAAGTTTCTGCGCCCCAACATAAACTATCGGAACAAAAACGAAACTTATGTGTCATATTGGGCATTCCCGCAACTTCATTATGATACCTACAGGAATTATTTGTTGCGAGGTTGTCAAAGGAAGATACACATGTTGACGCAAAGAGCATTCTCACAGTAGATGTAATAACGGGTCATATAAAATAAAATAATAAACAATGTATCTATTAAGCAGTCGCAACACTTTACCGCCTTACCACGGATAGGAAACGTTATTGGATATCGAATTGCTGTGCACAGCGTGGTGATCCGTACTCGGTCTTGCAAGTTGAAGGTCAAAGATTTTCCTTTGGAAGCACAACAAAGAACGGACGTATGCCAGGGCGGAGTCCATGGCTACTCACGGATACCACATAATGGATATAAAAACCTTCCAGATGAAGAGCGTTATGATGCTCGTGGTTTTCGATCTAGCTGAGCACACTACATACCTCAACTATGTAAAGGGCATGAATGGAAACGTCACTATTTTCCATTTAAGCAACTTCAACGATTAACAGAGCTGCAGCTGATATAACTTCGGTGTTCTCGCATAACAACAAGCACCCCAGTTAATCTCTCTTTTTGAACTTCCAGATGAAAACGTCGCATTTCTCAGCTTACGTAACTTTGCTGGGAGATGAACACGCATATCGGATCATGAGTAAAGCTGTGAACAGAATTCAGTGACACTCCTTATTTAATTTTGTGGAAAGTACTCCAGATTTGATGAAATCCTTACATACTTTCTAACATTCTGGTCAATTTGAAGATCAACTAAACGGTTCTGATTCAACATATCTTCTCCAGTGTAGTTTCCGACAGTGAACTGCAAAACAAATTTCCTTTGTTACACAATCAATATCTACAATAAAACAAGAAAAAAAAGGAACTGAAAAGATTAGTGAAGAACACATTGAAATAATAAACCACATCTCATTTACTTGATACTTGAATGGCCGGTCCTCACTAGTTGTGCGGACCCCAGCATAATCACCATTTTTTGGAGATTTGCTGGTTAAGCCATTGTGGTTCCTGCAATCACGAGGATAGCCTGGCCAAAGCCTGCTCCAGGTCGTCACCACGACAGGCAGTCGCAGCTCTTGAGGATCAGAGGGAGATTTGCCACCATGCGACTTTGATACTAGGACGGTGGTAGATCCTGGTATTGGTTTACTCTTAGCCGGGCTTCCTGATGCAAACGTTGGACTCGTTCTCAGCTTGGGGATCCTGCCGGGAGGACGAATCCACCCGCTGTGCATCGCAGTCCGACACCTAGGAACACCTCTCAGCCACGATGAGGAGGTAAATCGTTGGTAGGTATCTCATTTAATGCATATATATATATATATATATATATATATATATATATATGGTTTGCAGACTATAATAAAACAACTGAACTATGTTGAATAGATAGAAATAAATCAAAATAAACGTACAATAAGAACTCGATCTTCTACAACGCTCGACCATGTGAAGTACATCATTTCATTACAACCCACTCTTTGCATTTTATGGCCTTTTTGGCCAAACGATACAGGGATCTAGAAATATTAATTGCTAAAATACTTTGTTCAACTCAGTACAGGTAAAGGTAGTAACAGTAAGATTTCTAGACGATAAATTCCAATCAGCATGGATTTTCTCACAACTGATTAGCAACCTGGTAGTGCTAGGCTACGACGCTTTTGATAAACAACTTCTTTTCACAATGCTTGCGTGGAATTGCATTTCGTTTCTTCGCCTCGCTTTCTTTTAATCGTCATCGATAAATGTGGTAGAGTGCGGATGTGGAATTCGCCACCACTTGACGATTTGTGGAGTTCTCATTAACAGAATGGATGTTATTAGAGCATGATCTTATTTGGAGGCCTGAGAAAGGCGTGACCGAGAGTTCTAAAGATGTCACCACAGACAGCTGTCAATCTTAATGGCTCGGAGAGAAGTGTGCTGCTTTGTAGTTGAGATTCCTCCAGGATCACAGCAATTCCTGTAACGGTAGTGTACGCATTTTACTTTTGGACCAACCGATCCAGGACAGTGAAACGAGCCGAGTCCCAATTAACATAATGAAAGGTGAGCAAGACGTCTTTCCTCCAATGAGTTTAAGTCACTGGAAAACTTTGGCGCGCAAGATGGACGAACCCAGACTTTCTTAGTGCTCACACGTGGACCCCTTCGACAGTGGAAACAGGAATCGTATAGATGGATAGGCAAGCACATTGTAGAAACTTGAATTTTTATCAATTTAAGATCAAAATTCCTAAAAGTAACGATGAAGCAAGAGTAAATATTCACCTTTAGGTTATTCATAATGCAGGCAGAAGCCATGCCGTTTTTAAACGGTGCCAAGTGAATTGCAACTGAAGATTCCGAAGTTGACACACAAGCTTCAATTCCGATGTGTTCATTGTTTATCTGACAAACGAAATAAAGGACGACGGATAAGTATAAATTTTTTAACAGATAATTTCAGTGGAAGAATGTACAAAAAGTCTCAAATGTCACACCTACCTGACAAAGAGATTCGAAATTCTCAGTGACTGGAAAGGAAAGAGATTCTTCCTGTTGTCCAGTATACCTGGCGCAAAGTAGTTTTCTTTTCGCACGCTGCTGAGGCCAAATCCCAACACACTAGAAGCATTCTTCGCAATGAAAACAAACCTCTTAAAAAGAAAAACCACCATGTGAGAAAAATCTGAGCTCTAGCGCAGAGTGGTAGAATAAAAACAAATACCAAGAACATTCTTTTAAAGGCGAAAACCAAATTCTGAACAAGCCTAGGAACCACAATTAACACATGATGTCCGAAGCTTAATTATTTGCGACAGCGGCGAAAGGCCAAGGCCGCCTAATTCCATTTCTTTACAAAAATGCTGTTTTATTGAAAACAGAAGATAATTTTTGACAACCACAAGACTAAAGGTTGAGAGCTCGACAAAATTGTAAGAGCCACTTGTGCTATCACTCTTTGGCGTGCTATGTACTTTACTGTTTTCTGTGTTCCTAAAATAAGCTATACAACCACATTGCTGTCAACATTTTGAATGTTTTGAAATTTCTGTTGCACTTAACTCGCTACTTTTATACCCACCCGTTCCAGACGACAGTACTAATTCATCACAGCAAACTGCAAAAGCACGGGCCATTGAACTCGTAGAGTAAAGGGTTTTATGCAAATCATTAGATGTAGAAAACAACTATTCATAGGCCACGTGTGATATGACATCTGTGTGGGGCAATATGTTGATTGAGTACAAAAGCGAGGAAAAAAGTTCAGTGTTGCAAAATAAACAATTAAAAAGAAAATGCATTGAGCTCAATGCCTTCACCTTCCATCCTCAATGAACGCATGTCATACAACACATCTCGGTCATCTCGTGTTAAAAACAACTTTATTTTAAGGATACAACTGAAAAAAGCAAACCTTTTCAGCAGGCACATCAATCCACTCATCTTTTCCGCATTCCTTCACTTGTATGTCCCATTTTCCGAGATTGGAGACCAGATAGAATGGACAAAAAGTGACGATTTTTGTCAAACCAGACTGACACAATTTGATATTCACGGTAAGCTGAATATGTACTTAGAGCCTAAGTAAGGCTTCACATTTAAGCGGAAAGTTTCCACACTTCAGAAAAAGCGATTTCCCAACATAATGACTCACAATATCCAGACACAAACAATACAACTAACCTCATAATCTCTATCTCTTCCTTTACAGATGATTCGAGCAGGGTTTCCAACAGTATCTAGTGGAAACTCTTCCGACCATGCAACAGCATGCTCCACTAGCACTCGAGACTGTAAGGAAAATATAATAAACAAAAAGAAATGAAAAAAAAACCGGGGTCAGACATAGTGGATAAATCGACAATACAGGGGCTACTCTCTACCCCACAGAGAGTAGTCTCTATTTTCACCTATATTTATATGTATTGAATATTACTACGTCTTGCATTTTATTTGCAGATAACAATCAGCGCAGTCAACCCATTGCAGTCAGTGAATCATGATCATTATAAAAATACCAGCTGGATGATCTTTTAGCCTCATAGCTAGTCCGTGCAGTGCTTGTAAGCTCTTCATAGACTAATACGTGCAGTATTCCTGGAAATAAGTCACCCTCACAACAGTGCCATTTACCTCTATGCGACATATTTAGATTGCTATCACATCAGTTCGTCTTCTCGTTTGATCTTCTTTGCTCAGCCCTCCGATTTGTATAGACTAGACTAGACTAGACTGTCAACTCACAGTCCATCACTGACATATTAAAAGTGTCGTCAATCGTTATGTAACCGACTTGCGCTGTTAGTCTAGCAACTGTCTTCAATACTTGCGTCTTCTATAAATATTCAACAATAGTCACTCTTGCCATGTCAATTCATTTCTTTAGCAATCCGCTGCGCCAAGATATATCGATATTCTTTGATGACCTGTTTCATGTATGATTTATCTTGCTCAATATTTCTTCACTTCGCAAAGTCCTCTACATCACTCATTGGTAGTGCAGCTTCTTCGTCCTTAGGACATCCTTGCAAGTAAGACAATCCTAATCCTTAATGATCACGTTGATAGTCACGCTGTTTTTACATATTGTGAATTTATATAGTGGTTTAATTTCCAACGTTTGACAGTTTGTTCGGGAGCAACGCAAAAGTCACGTGTGTCGAATTCGCACGAGATCGAACACTCTGTTTCGAGCTAGCAACTACTCGGTTCTGTCAACCGACTCTAAGAACTACATTCCACTGAGTTAACAATGATATTTGTGGGTCATTGGTCTATGTACTACAGAAGATGCACGTTTATTCGACTATTTTCTAGTCACTTTCAATTTCATATTTGAGATGAGTTTTATGTGTGGCAGGATAGAGATAACTGAATGTACCATCAAAACAGAGGAATTGTTTTAAAACTCAAAAAAAAACACTTCGTTACAAAAAATCCTTTTTGTTCGTTATCGTTGACAAACGTCACAAAGGAGTGTGGACAATGGAAATAAATTGCGAATCAGTGACCGAAACGTTAATAACGCTACACTTGCAAAAATTCAACTTCACAATCTGGAAGAAAAACCATGCCATTGCCCTACATATACAGAAAATAAGTCGTATACGATGGGAACGTTTTAAATGCAGACCACCCCGTAGATGATTAAAGCATGGAGCTCTAGAGAGATTGAAGAACCTTATCGAATATTAACAAGTGGTTGTAATAAGTCGAGACCCCGCATCAGTCGAAACTGATTGCTACTTTAGTCAGAAGTTCAGATAGCACTTCCAATATCATCAATAAGTTAGTCAAAAAAAGATACCTAACTTTATCAGAATGTAATGCTGACCCCACGGGTGAACAAGAATGCTTCAGAACTTAACTGCACATGGAACTACAGGGGTATACCGATATAAAAAAAGTTAAGGCTACTCAAAAAGAATAGCTCCAATGTAGAAAAATAGAACATTAAAATGAACGAATTGTGACATGGAATCAATGAGAAAGGAGTTCTATTCTGACTCTATCAGTTTTAAAAACTTTGAACCAGAATATCCATCTCAAGAAATTCCATTATATGAATACCAAGGAAGGATCAATACATTAGAACAATCGTAATGATGCTGATATGGTTACGAAATTGTGACCTCAACTGGGCTTCGAGTCTTTAGTTACAATTACGGATGTTCATCTGCCATCCACTACATATAGAGAACTGCTCTATCAAATAGAGAATTCTCTACCTACCTAACAAGTATTCTCTACAATTCTGAGCATTTAATAAAGGAACTCTTTCTGGTGACGCAGGCACACGTTCTAGCAGCACCGCAACTATATAAATAGGGAACTCCAAAGCAATTGCCAAAAGTGGTTGAAATGACGTAACCAAAATTGGTTAGGTGGGATAAATTGTTAGCCTAGGTCATCTCCGCCCGTTTTTATCAGTATAAAAGGCTGGCCTTCAGCATCAACCAACTTTTTGTCACTTCACACAATGCTTAAACCTCTCAAATAAGTTATTATAACACTATCAATGCAACTCTATATTGTTTCCTTTCTCCGCCGAGAGAGTTGCTGTGACATCTTGGTTGAATAGTAATTGTATTAGACTCGTCTTCCCTATTCTCTAAATATGTCTCGTATGACATACACATCTGTCCCCTTAATTAATTAGCAATTATACTATGCCACGTATTCGATCAACATGAGATCACTTCATGTACTCAGTGAACCATTATCATTTTGTAACCGTAGTTGTTCGTCGCCTCAAATAGCTCTACAATATGAACCTCGAAACATTACTGCCGTTGTATTGATGCCGTTATTATAAAGATAAATGGTTTAATTACCCAAGTTTATCATGCCGAAGAAATACGAGCGAAAAATAAAAAAAAATAAAATAAAAAAAATAAATAAAATAAGTAAGAAATAACGAAAAATAAATAAGAAAAAAAAACCCGCGTAGCAAAAGCAATCGAGACCATGCTCACTACTCTACTACTGAGCCAACCAACACCACACGAACTCAAGACTTTGCCTTGCTTTTCTCTCAACCAGTTTTGTACTCTATTGGTGTCGTTAACAACTACCCGTCAACAGGAATGATCTGGGGAAGTCGAACAGGCAACGAACCTCGTTAAGATGAGAAAGCAGTCGAAATCACATCTTTACTTTTACTCAATGCCTATTATTTTTTCTCTTATAGTTGAATTTCACATAATACCCTGCCTTGTAAAAAAGTGTGATTTCGACTTCACAAAACATTGCGGAGATGTCTGAATGTACGTTTGGACTATACAATAATATGTAGCCTTATCGAAGTAGCAAGTCAGTGCTTTCATCCTCTCAAACAATTCTGATACGTATCTGACGACTCCGGAGGATGGCTAGAACACTTAGTAAGATCGGGCACCAGATCGAAACATATGGGTCCAGTGTGCAACGAAGAGCACCTCAATCAATTCGCTACACACGCTAATAACACGGTGACAAATTTAATCCCAACATTGACAGAAATCAGCGTGGGTGCAGTTCTGCTCGTAGCATACACACGTACAACCATCGAAGTTGAGATCAGAAATATCCCATCCAGGTGGTCTTGTAAAATGTAGATGTATATGAGACCAAGAAACGCAGGAATGAGATATGCACGAAAATGACGAACAGATAACGTTCCAAATGCAGCTGAAAAAATAACAACACAGATGTCTCAGTAATACCTTCTTCTTCCTCGTGAAGTCGCTGCAAGGGAACGGAAGAATGAGTGGGTTTTCGTTTGGACGATGTTCCACTGCAAATTCTGACTCCTAAAATTAAAAAGTACTAAATACATCAATTCATTAGAAATGCATATGAAAGACAAATACTTTGAACACAGATAATATGTAAGTTCTAGGTAAGGAAGGAACAATAATAATTTTATTCTGATGGTAGGGGAAAATTAAGCATCCAAGTGAACTCTTTGCGGTTGGTCTCCATGTATTCAGTGGAAGACTCATAGAAAGCAGTGAATATGTAACGAAGTTATTCTATTTTCGATGTTATTGAAATCTTGGCTTAAAATTTCTCTGTTTGGTTATGGAAGTGTTTGGCTGGGTAAATTGCGGTCAACTTCACCTTCGCGGGCTGTTTTGAGGAAGGCGAAATCTGCCAAAACGTCAGTTTGTGTGTTAATAAAAAAAAAATAACACCTCGGGTTTGCTGAACAAGAATGCAAAGAACTGTTCGATCAACTGCGGGATTAATAGAAAGTCGGTCTGGGGCTAATAATTTTGATAATTAACAACAATAATCACCAGTTACATAATAATAAACATAATCAATAGATAAGATAATTAACAATGACAACTAGATTAATAAATAGCTAATAACGGTACTAATAATAATAACGACAATAACAGGAATAATGGAAACAGATAAAAAATAAAGGATAAAGCTCTCGGCATTGATCAATCCCTGAGGGATGCGCCATGCATCCGACATCACTAAGCATCATTTGGAGGTGATTGAATACATATCTGGCCTTTACAATGACTCGCGGTGGCCTAGCGATGTATAGAGCCAGTGCTGATATCCTCCCAGACAAGTCTGGTACCAATTTACCGACCTCGAAGGGATTAAAGGCTTGGTGGGCCATGGTCGCTGGGACCGATTCCATGTCTGTGTTGCAGGGCGCCTCCGACCACTGCGCCACACGCGTCCCTAATAAGTACTTTTATAATGGTTTCTTTGTTTGGTTATGGAGGTGTCTGGTCGAATAGATTGCTATCAACTTGACCTTTCCAGGCTCTGAGGAACGGGAAATCCGCCGAAATGTCAGCTTATTCGTGAATAAAGAAAAATAACATCTCGCGTTTGCTCAACAAAAATACGAAGAATTACTTTTATAGTGATCAAAAGTACTTATAAAACAGGTCTACGGTTTACTATTAAGTTGTTATCGTAATTGATTTTCTACTTATACGAAAAACACCTGACTTAGCGTAAACAAGAGAATTAGTCAGTGAATAATCACCCGTTATTAACACCAGTTTTCACCATCCTTTCACCAAATGGCTTCTTTATTACATTACATTACATTACACTAAGGAGCTCATATTAAGATCGATAACGGATGAAAAGCTGAGCCAATGTGTTAAGGGCACGCCGGTTATTCTAGTATTCGTACCTAACACCTACATAGACTAATATGCTTATGCGTGGAAGAGATAGCACGTCAATCGTCGAAAGAAAAAAAACCGTTGGGTCTAAATATTTGTTCTCTATGACACGATATACAGACTGATGGTCGTGGCTACTGAACAGACCAGAATAGAAACCGTGGAGGATCACTTCCAATACCCTGCTTTATGCAATCACTTCGAATTTCGAAAATTGAACACTTTAGTCTTACAGTTGACGAAGTATTTGCAGACATTACTAAAGCACTTCTCAGGTTCTCCAGTTTCAGTCAATACTGCTGCTCTTCTCTCGTTACGATTCTTTTTAGGGCTTCTCTGCCGACCATTGAATGCTCGGACTAGCGCAGTTATAAGTTGGCGTCTTACCAAAAGAAAAACGGATTCCGAGACCATTCGATTTCCCTACCACTATCAGAAGAAATTGCAAGCCAAACGAAGTTCATTTCCTGAATTTTGAGGACTTCTCTTGATTCCGCGAAAAAAAAGAGAAAAGAAGTGAAGTCTTTCAAAGTCGGTATATGCGCACATCTTCGTAACGGCAAATTCGGAATCGTATCATAGACATCGATTTTCATGAATACTCTGGCGTTGATGAGGACATCTGCCGATTATTCTATGATCGCTCCTTCCAAGTGATATTTTTCGATATCACAAACGCCGTTTAATGCTTTTTGTTATTCTGTTTCGACGGTGCAACGAAGACTAAGCATATTCACAGACGGCTTCCAGGCTTTCCCAAATTAGGCGTAGAACCAGCATGTTGGAGAAGGAGGCCACTCCCGGACATTTCTTACCTACCTTCTTACAAGTAGAACACGATCCACAAATGCATTAGCACATCTACATATGAACACAGAAGATGTGCCAAGTTGGCACATTGAGAAACCTTCGCAACCAAGCAAAAAAAATTTAATAAACCCGTTCTCGTGGAAGTCATCAAATTAAAGCACCATCATATATGTAACTGGCATAAATTACATTTATATTAATTCGAACAATGATTAGGACACATACGCGCCTTCCAATTAGCCACAGAGTATTTGCATTCCCCAACCATTCTAATATAGGAAACAAATTAGAGGGCTTTAATAAACTTGAAATCCCCAGTCCAAACGGTAGTTTGCAAATTAGTTTGCTAGCTCCAAGTTATGGTGATTTCAAGAAGTTTTACAGGCTTATGAGGGCTATAAGAGGCTTACGAAGAACGTACTCTGTCTACTTTGAATGTCTTAAAGGTTTTTCATTTTGTGATGATACGGAGCAGATCTTTTAGTTTTTCCATTATTACGCTATGGAAATATCTGTCAATTGTTAACGTGGCAAAAGTTGTTCCGTACTGAAAAAATGGAAAGTGAGAGGTGTTTTTAAGGAGATAATAACTACAGGTGAAAAAATGAAAAAAATGATTGATGATAGGAGAATTCCTTGACTAGTGTGTGATTACTTGCTATGATAGTTTTGTTCTTTCCTTGCCTAGAATAGCGACACAAAACTTGAAAAATCGTGCAATGCGTTAGCACAGTCGCTAATAGGGAGAGAGGGAAATGCAAGCTAACTTTGGGACCCTCGTTACAAAAAACAGATTGAACGCTAGTGTTACAGATATTAGCATTACATCATGATATTCACTTCGTCGCCGTCTTAAAATCAGCTGCTGCTGCGTAACGGTTAACACGATGGGGTTACCAAGATGTAAACGAAAAGAATGTTTAGTTGATGGGATTGCCGTAGTACCAAGCACAGAAACGGCTAAGTTAATTAAGTCATAGCTTAATAACAATCCAGACCAAGGGAAAAAATCAACACTGTTAGTTCCACAACAGGGACGAAGACCGTTACTAACTACGTAATTTGTAGACATTTCAAGGTGTGCATTATATAATAAAAGTCACACGATCACGAAGGTTCCACATATGGTTCACCTGTTGCGAAGTGTGGGCCTTTATGCAGGGTACGCACTGCATTCGATTATTCAGGAAGTTTCCGTCGCTTTCCTAGAAGCGCATGGAAGAAGGTTCGTTTTGCATAATAGCTAATGTTTCTCGTAGTATAAAAACAGGAGCAAAAAAGTTTGGCCCACCATATGTTTTAGGATCATAGATGTGTTGTTCACGAGCCAAAATGGTGCATACAAATATGCTTTTAGATCCCCGTACTGAGTGCTCCAGTGGATTCCAAGAAGCTTAAACGATCTCAAACTCAATACTGAAAGAAGAAATTTTACTTTGCAAGAGCAAAGACATAAATACTTACAAGCTCAGAAGAACCAGAATCCGTGTTAAGAGCAACCACTTCTAGATCCTTCTTATCCTGGGGTATAACCATATCCAAGAAATACATTTCTCCCAGGTACGATGCCTATAAAATAGGATCAACCAAAACGATTACTTTCAGGTTCTCTTTAAAGTGATAAACCTTGAATTTCTGCGCAAGTCAAAAATGTTTCCCTGCGTGGATACCATAATTTCGGCAGCACCATTTCAATTATTGGACGCACAGCAAAATGAAAACGGAAAAAAAAGAGCCTGTAGGTAAAATCCAATAATGATAACGTCTTACCCAGAGCCTAAGGCGCTGGTTAGTTATTAGGTGCAGCTGAACACTTTCCCCTGGTTCGATATCCAGAGCAACGGGTATCTCGACTGTGACTGGAAACGGAAGGATGTTGTGGAATTGCAGAGGTGGATAGAGGTGTACCGAGAACATCTCAGTGAATTGGTCAACACCTAAATTAAGATCTCTTTTATCTCTTCCGAATATGAGAACACAAAGTAAATGAATAATTATCGGATCTTTTCTACTGTAGAAAATCATAAATCCAAAAAACGATTTCCTTCAACCTTTGCACTACACATTTGATTCTACTCAAAAACGACGAAAAAATACACTCCACAGATCAGATTTCATGAGGTTTGCTTAGTAACTTTGGCCCATAATGCTACTTATGTTCAAGAAAAACGCTCCAACTTCACTGTTATTCCATATGATATAAACTGCTAGACAGTGGATGCGAATAGAAGCTCGTACAACGAAATATAAAAAGAACGAAAACAGGAATAAGCAATGAGAAAATTTTAGCAATAACTATACCAGAACCACGACTGCAACCAGTAATTTCAGTACCTTCGCGAACTTTCTCTTCAAATACAACCGCTTCGAAATAGTAGCCTTGTGTGGTATCTTCACTCAAATCACATCTGATTGTTTGCCTCTTGTTGTGTGTAAACTGATGCCATGTGATCGATTCAAAACTCACCTCACATCTGAAAGTACAGTCATGATTCACTGCAAATCTACTAAGAAGCAACACCGTCACAATGAAAAAAGATTTTTTACGGGAAATCAAGTCACTTGTCATTTGCAGGTCTGAAAAAGATTTCTCCCGTTGCTGAAAATAGCAACGGAACAGCCAGCTGCAATGTTTCTCCAGGTGCTACAGCACCAAAAAGGTCCAAATTTGAACTGTTCTTCGAATACAGCTCCATAGGAACATCGAGGTGGTTCGTTACAAGCACATGAGATGTGAACGTTACTAGACGACGTCCATTTTCAATGCTTGTTTCAGCAATTATCTGTAAAAGTGCTCAGTTACTTATGAAAGCTGGAAAAAGAACGCTTGATGAAAGTGACAACCCGGTCACTCATCTGACGATTATCTTTTCTAAGCCTAAAACGGTTATCTTTTTCTAAAATATCACTTGTCGATTTGCGAAAATCTATGCGTAACATTAAACTGATCTCACCTTCCACTGATATCCTCCATCACTTTTCTTCGGCAAAGGTATTGCTACTTTTCCAGCACGACCAATTTTTAGTTGCCTAACTGTATCAAGCAGGTTTATTCGCAAATTTGCACTTAGTTCCGCCTGGGTTGAACTAAGGCGTTCCTTGTCCTGCTGTAACCTAACAACTCAATTTACAGCGAATGGAAACGTCATACGAAACAGCCATTTCTATACGGTGTTTAAATGAATACAAAGATATAGACAACAAATAACACCTCTAATCTAAAAAAACACACCGAATCAGCGGCAATGGCAGAAGTTTCCTTACTCATATGCAAGTCGATGAACCTTCCATGTTCGGCTTCAACCTCATCCCCAGTCTCGCCCACCTAAGATTTAGAAGTACCAGCCTGTGAGCAGGAACATACAATATAACATATTCCAAGTTACCCAGTACTGGTAGCACACATTAAAAACATTAATGAAACGAAATCCTAATAATATGAACTATAAGCATGATAATATAACACCTGCAGATTGTCAGTACCCGCAATCTTGATAATAATACCCGTTTCGTTGAGAACGATGAAAGGAGACAATCCAGGAAGTTGACGGGTAACAGGTGGTGTGAACTGCTTTGCTGCTTGCGCAAATTTCTGATAATAACTATTCCTAGTAAAACGTTAAATAAATGAAAACGACATTTGGAAAAATCCGCTTACTTCAGATGTGTTATTCAGCAATGAGATGAACGATTTAGTAACAGTAAGGTTAAGAATGTTGTCCGCTTCAATCTTCACATCCATCTCTGGTTGAGTATCTAATGGATCGAGCTTATTGCGACCTTTGACCTAGAAAAGAACTGATAGTGTCATGTCATGGCACTGTATATGATGACACCCGAAGCATGTTCATTACAAGGAAATTTTAAAATTAACTAACCGTCATTTTTAGGTTCCACGGTGTCCATTCGCCCATAACGTCTTCTATCGGTTCGACAACTGGTTCCCAGACACTAAAATGAAGAAAAGTAGCTGGGCTAAAATCGTGTTAACTTCGACATTAATTACCTCAACGCTTCATTATAATACGACATCTGAAGTGATAGTTGAGCAGATGCCTGAAGAGCAGACGACCAGCTGGATGCTTCTGCTCTGACAAGCATTTGCATAAAAACCAGTGGCACAGGAACCTAAAGAAATCCTAGAATGAAGAAGTGAACGTTCATATTTATTTTTAAGAAAAGACTATTACAGCATGAATTCGTTGACACTGCAGCATCGCTCTGAAAACTTAGAAACTACAACTCACTGCTCCTGTTCCAGCTTCAAGGGTGAAGTTAACACGTTCGATTTCAACCCTGGCTTGCTCTGAGATACGGTCCAGGTCGTTAGAACCGCCTTTTTCCACATTCTGTTCATCTACTTCACAAGCCTCCTCAGCTGTTGGTGTATGGAAGAACCAGAACCTAAACAAACAATGTCTAATGGATGAACAAGATCCGGAGTACAGCATTTTAGCAAAAAATGTATGCTCTGAAGAAGAACCAAAACCCCAACGTTTTGTTTCTGGCCAATATAAACAAAAGGAAGAGAACGCATTCGTAATGGCAGAAATAAGAACTGTGACAATCGTTACACTGACAACATGCTCTCATAATGTTCTACTCTTGGATTGCGGATTTTTATGTTCGTCGAACCGCAATGTATAACGAGGTTTTCGTCTGACAACACGAATACTTCAGTAAGAAGGATATTGATGATTCCATCTCGAAGCTCAACTATGAGCAATGCCGGAGATGGCCTTCGTCCTGGAACGAACCCAATGATAAGACGACAAACGTTCATCTGATCCAAAATCTTCGACAACTATTTGTGTTGAGGACGCTTAAACACATTAACATGGCATTTCAAGAATCCACAGGAATAGAACTGTTAAGTGGTCGAAATTCAAGTCTATTGGAAACGGCGGTGTAGTGCGCACTATTCTTCGTTAAGATGGAACATTCAAGTACTCGAGTAACTTGAAATCCCAGTCAAAGCAATACAAAAATAAGTATGAATCCATTATATTTTCTTCCTCGACTGTATTTTAATGCCGCTAAATATCTAGTAACTAGAATGAGCATCAGCGAAGTCCATGTCATAGCTTGTGGTTACACAGCTAGGGACACGAAGAACCTCAAACTTGCATTACGAAGTCGTTTATACATTGTCTGCTACAAAAAGGCGGTCAGGAGTAACTCCCCGACCTCTACATGTGAAAGAGACTACTTTTAACCGGATATGGAGATGTAAATGTCGAACTTTACTTAAAACAGAGAGCTGTGTGAATTCCAGCTCCATACAGTTCGACACCTAATAATGCTTAGAGGCAATCAAAAGTGGATGTGGATCTCGTAGTGACTCCTCTGCTACATACCCTAAAATCAAACTCTGTATTGCTCATCCCTAAATTTTTAGGGAGAACTAAAATTTTGACAAATGAATGAGGCATTGCTACAATGATTTATCCACCAAGGATAAGGATAAATTTCACATTACTTCCCAAACGCATTCATCGACAGTGGTACTTTGATAACAAGCGCACTTGAGAAACCGAGGCCTTAGGAAACTTATGAAAGAGCGATGTGTCTTTTAACAAAAGGTGTAAAGGATATAAGTTTTCACAAAATATTTTCACCGTTCCGAAAATGTTAGGATTGAATCTTAGAAGAACTAAAAGAATGGAAAGAGTGAACTGTTAAACGCAGGCACAACAACCGTCAATAATGCACTCGCGAACATCGGAGTGCTCTAGTGGAATAGTGGCTTACAATCGCTCCATTAGTCAAGTTAATAAGTCTTGACGAAAGATTGAAGGATCTAGGAAATTAGAAGTCCGTCAGAGAAAAACAGACTTGTGTTACGCTGAAAAAAAAACCTACTAAATTCTAACAATTCAAGTAATGAAGCTCACTGTTAGCTCAAATATGCCTGTTTACTCGAAAAGCAACATTATTCACGGATTTGTAGGATCATACATGAGTGATACCTTTGTGTGGCAGTAGGGTAGAGCAAGGCCAATTTTCCGACAATGGCTCTGCGGATGTCATTCGTACGGTCAGTCGTGCCCCCGAAAATTACCAAGCACTTTTTGCTGCTTCTATGCTTTTGTGTAAGTTTATGCGGAAGGTTTCATATATCATATAACCACGACGGTGTCAGCTTTTCGCAGTCGGTTTCACAAGAAGCAGGAGAGTTGAACATATTTTGGTACTTTAACACATTTGTTATATCCACCCACAATAGTAGAGTTCAAAAATGTAGTGATCCAATAGAAACAATGTATGGAATCACACTGATGAGCGTTCTGCCCACTTGTTCTGGAAAACCTCATAGGAGTGTTCTGGTCGTGGAGGCTGTAGTGCAGTAACTAGAGGTGACCTGCAGCACAAATGTGGGTGGTGGTTCGAACCCGCACATAGGTGTCAATAAGTCTTCTATCCTTCCGGGATCGGCAAATTGCGAACAGGCTTGCTTGGGAAGATAGTAACATTGACTTCATACATTGGCAGGCAACCGCAAGTCATTGCATAGGCCAAACACGTATTCACTCACTTACAGTGCTTGATGAAGTCGAATGCTTAGCACATCCTACAGGGTCAACGCCGCAGTTTTATCCTTTTATTTTACCTACTCTTCTGATCAGCAACAGTCTCTGTTTTAGCAGTTATCTCAGAACCCTCTTGGTCAGTAACAAAATAATCATCTTTCACCTGTCAACTGTCGTCCCGTTGATCGTCGGGTGATTCGACAGTACGTCACTTCCGTCAATAATCAAAACCACTCCGTGGGTTTCCGGAATTGCGAGTTGTCGTGAATGCTGTCTGACGTTATGATACATTCGGACACCCGTTTACTTTGGTTGTTCCATTCTAATCCGTAAGTCCGAATGTGACGTTCTTCAGACATCCTTCTTGGTCCAATCTTAACGTTAAAATCTCCAACGATGGCTACGAAGAATGCAAAGTTTTCTCTACAGAACTTCTCTTAGTCTATATAGAACGCTTAGAGTTCTTCCTCGTCATAGTTTGATGTCGGTGCGTAAACGACGAAAATTTTCACAGCCGATACTGATCCACATCTCATTGATGTTCATAGCCAAACTCGTGTTGAGAACGCCGTCGTCGTCGACTCCTCTATTGTCGCATGTCCTAAGCAACACTTCTTCTCCGGTGTCACAGACGGCGTTGACTGGATGGTGTTGTCTCGCCTCGGCCAGGCCGATGACCTCGCACCTCATCTCTCTTGCTTGCATGAACAAGTTTTCTATCAAAGACTCAGGTTCAAGCGAGCGTGCATTGTAGGTACAGATCGTCACCTTAGTCGCTTGCTATTTAGGCAGTGTTCAATTATCTTGGTATTTCAGCGGCCTCTACGTACTCGTCCTACTTAACGGTATCGTATCGGGGCTCTTTAAAAATCAGGGGGATTAGGCCCATTTATTTATTTATGTGATCTTATAAACTGATCTTCTTAAGCTGACGCGAGGTTGGTACAGATCTTCGTTGTCGTTGTCGTTGTTTTTGAAGTTATTGATCGATGGCTGGCGTTTCGGCGACTTCGGTTTCCTCAGAGTCTGGACGTATTTTATGTTAGAATACTTTTTATTATTCGGTGGAAAAGAAGGTTAAAGTGTTAATGAAGATCAAACTTTCAAATAGACGCCATATTAAACAGAAAGGCCACTCACCGTGATGTTACGTGCGGGACTGGCCCACACGTATTTCACGTGGAGTCGCGAGCAAGACACGCCCCGGAGTCAAAATCTCATTTTGAAATAGCGCGCCAGGTCACGCGTGATAGTGAGACATTCGTCCTTCCCGTTCATCTTTGGATTTTTGAAATTTATCCTAAACGCCTCAAGAGTTTTGCGCGTTGATGTTTTTGATTCCCGCGCTAAGATCAGCACATTCACTTCAAAAATCGTCGTCGTTGTGCTTTTGTGTCCTATGCGTACCTAGAGGGGTGTTTAAACGGATTTTAGCTTTCCCATCTAGATGTTCTTTTATGCGGACACAAAGTGGTCTACCCGTTTCCCCGATAATTCCTCGCCGCATGCATTACATGAGATCAAGTATATTATACCTAAACTCATGCAATCCCCGTCTCTCCCGTTGGGGCAGATCACACAGTTTTCTGAGCTGCATAAACGATCATAGAGACGGTTTCGAACTAACTGGCGGCGTAGGGTATTGGGTGGGACGGCGCCCTATTTCAAAATGATATTTTGACCCGGGGCGTGTCTTGCTCGCGACCCCACGTGAACTACGTGTGGGCCGGTCCCGCACGTAACATCACAGTGAGTGGCCTTTCTGTTCAATATGACGTCTATTTGAAAGTTTAATCTTCATTAACACTTTAACCTTCTTTTCCACCGAGTAATAAAAAGTATTCTAAAATAAAATACGTCCAGGCTCTTAGGAAGGCAAAGTCGCCGATACGTCAGCCATCGTTCAATAACATCAAAAACAACGACAACGACAACGACAACGAAGATCTGTACCAACCTCGTGTCAGCGTAAGAAGATCGGTTTATAAGATCACATAAATAAATATATCAACTATCTATGCCGATGTTTATAGAAAGTCGGTCTTTCGAGTTATTAAGAGATGTTCCAGCAAAACATTTCCGACTTGTAAGGGACGTATTGTCATTAAGACAGAAAACCGTCTTAATGCGACAAAAGACCTATTTTCTACGCCGCTGCCTAAAACATCGAATTATTCCTAACTTTATAAAACGTAGGAAATTATACGAAGAATGCGGCTTACCGGAGAGCTCTCAACAAGTGCTGAGCATCGAAATGAAACTGCTACGCATTTCATTGCGGTGCACACAAAACGAAATGTTTTCACTATTAAACAAATGTGTGTACAAAGAAAACCATTGTGCTCAGCATTTCTAGAGAAATCTTTGGAAGAAAATAGTGGCTGGGTCTAAATCGGTATGCGGAAAGATTCGGTGTGATATTAAGAGCAAGTTAAGGAAAAAGTTTGAAGATCTATCATGCCGCTCGAAAAGGTCAAATGAAAGGACCACCGCTGGTCAAGTTCCAAGTAAAAACCCTGAAATAGACTGCGCACCAAGAACATCCAGAGTTACTGTGCTAGGAGGTATAACGCTTCCGGAAAATGTGCGTTCTTTGTTAGAATTGGGTCCGAGTTTTTCACCTAGTCAACCTGTTTCTAAACTAATCCTGCGCAGGATCACGTGTAATCTACATGAACTTCAAGATCAGCTACGTTACAGGGTTAGGCTAGAAAGGTTAGGTAAAGTAGCACCAAGGGGGGGAACTACTATCAGTACCCTTTCCCCGAACTTTCTTTAGACAAGAGCTACCAAATAGCTTGACGATATTGACCCTACATTTCGTTTACTTTCGGACGAAATTCTCCGCATACTTAATCACTACCAAAAACGAAAAAGAAGCTCCAACCTCACAAAACCAACAAAAATGTGGTATGCGCCAAGTTAGAGCGCTTTTGAATTCAAAATCTGTTAGACTTTCTATTAGTGATAAAGGCGGAGAATTTGTAGTTCTTCGTAGTCAGTTGGATATTAGGATAACAGAGAAGCACCTCAGTGATGTTTCTCTCTATCGAACATCCTCTGAAAAGGAATACAGAAACCAATACCGAAAATTGAATCAAGAATGGGTCAGCACGGCAAAGGCCGCGGGTTTAGAGCCTTCAATTATTTCACGACTTAAGAACGAACACCCGATTTGCCCTGTCCTTTACTTGCTTATTAAAACACATAAGCTTACTTCAACTGATGATATTACGTCAACGAACCCATCATTATATAAGGTTAGACCTATCATCAGTTGTATAGGCGGGCCATCGGATAGAACAACGTGGTTCCTAAGCCTTATCCTAACCCAGCTGCTAAAATTCACTCCAACCCATCCACCTAACACCAAAAATATTTCTAGACCACCTAAGGCACGCGCAACCAAACAGCACGCATATAATGGAGTCATTCGATGTTAGTTCACTTTATACCAACGTGTCCAATGACTTGCAATGCAAGCCATTCTCGAGTTGTTCGTAGAGCATGAAAAGAAAATAAAAATGCACGGCTTGTCGATTGCGCAACTAATGACCCTTCTAAAACAGTGTCCTAGTTGTTCAATCTTTAGGTGGTCTGGAAAATATTTTGCACAAATTAGAGGGTTGGCGATGGGGCAGCGTTTAGCACCAAGCCTTGCCATCGCTTTCATGTCTAAGGTGGAAGTTCCAGTTCTCGATCACCGACCCTTACTCTACTGTCGATACATAGACGACTGCTTCATCTTCTGTTCCACACAAGAACAGATGGATGAGTGCTTTGAATTATTAAACCGACAGTCAGAGTATATAAAATTTACACGAGAAAAACCTACCGAGAACTGGCTTCCATTCTTAAACATCCAAATAAAGCTCTCAGTAAGTGGTTATGTAACAATATGGTATCGCAAGCCAAGTAGTAAAAACATTCTAGTTCACTGCCTCTCCTCTCGTCCTTCACACATGAAAAAAGCACTTATCAAAAATATGTATCGTAATATGTATCTAAAAATGTGTGTACAGGAGAAGAGGAAAGGAAGGAATCGCGAAACCTGGCGCGAAAAATTGCCATTTCCAATGGCTACGAAGTAGAAGCCACTCGGGTTAGAGGAAAACGTTGGGTAGTTTCCCAAAATAATATTTCAGACGAAAGTAGGATCCCCTTTAAGCTGCCCTTCATATCAAATGAAGGAAGTCACGCCATTAAAAGGTGCTTAAGAAAAAGTGGTCTTGAAAATTATGTAACGATTGTTGACATCCCACCGAATACCCTACGCCGCCAGTTAGTTCAACCGTCTCTATGATCGTTTGTGCAGCTCAGAAAACTGTGTGATCTGACCTAACGGGAGAAACGCGGATTGCATGAGTTTAAGTACAATATACTTGATCTCATGTAATGCATGCGGCGAGGAATATATCGGGGAAACGGGTAGACCACTTTGTGTCCGCATAAAAGAACATCTAGATGGGAAAGTTAAAATCCGTTTAAACACCCCTCTAGGTACGCATAGGACACAAAAGCACAACGACGACGATTTTTGAAGTGAATGTGCTGATCTTAGCGCGGGAATCAAAAACATCAACGCGCAAAACTCTTGAGGCGTTTAGGATAAATTTCAAAAATCCAAAGATGAACGGGAAGGACGAATGTCTCACTATCACGCGTGACCTGGCGCGCTATTTCAAAATGAGATTTTGACTCCGGGGCGTGTCTTGCTCGCGACTCCACGTGAAATACGTGTGGGCCAGTCCCGCACGTAACATCACGGTGAGTGGCCTTTCTGTTTAATATGGCGTCTATTTGAAAGTTTGATCTTCATTAACGCTTTAACCTTCTTTTCCACCGAGTAATAAAAAGTATTCTAACATAAAATACGTCCAGACTCTGAGGAAACCGAAGTCGCCGAAACGCCAGCCACCGATCAATAACTTCAAAAACAACGACAACGACAACGAAGATCTGTACCAACTTCGCGTCAGCTTAAGAAGATCAGTTTATAAGATCACATAAATAAATATATCAGCTATCTATGCCGATGTTTATAGAAAGTCGGTCCTTCGAGTTATTTAGGCCCATTTATTTCATTGTGTTCCCCGTCTGATTATATAGCTTCTTACATATAGCTTGCTGAGCTGTCAACTGGGGCTTTGGTATACTCATGGATAGCTTACCAGCTCTCCCTGAGTAGAACGGGACTCTACTTGTTGCAGACGACTCCTAACCGCTTCCTTACATCTCCCTATGACTTGATTACAGGGTTTTTGGCTCGACTGACTCGTAGAGTACAATCCGCATAAACGAGAACACATCCGCACACGCATGTATGAATACGACTTCGTAAACACAGAAAGTATGTGCTAAATCGGTGCAGCAGAAACAGGGACCCCATTCCTTGGAGCCACGGTGCGCAATCAACACCTTATCCGCCACCTGGGGACGCGCCACGTTGCCTCGCGACTGACCATTACGAGATCCCTCTATAAGGGAAGGACAAAATAAACATGCAGAAAAAAACCGGAAGGAATGAAATGAATCTTGATAAATGAATGGCTTCAATAGTCCGTTGCGCATGCAAATCTATCCTTACATGTCACTGTGAGTTTTGGAACTCAAATTACAAACTCCGGTATACAGGAATTAAAGACTTACCTCAAATGTTAACGTTAATCTCAAAAAGGTTAGAAGAAATGAACCACTTACTTCTTCTGGTTGATAGGTTTTGATCGCCAGTAATCGGAGAAAGATGGTGGCTTCGTTTCCGTAGTTGATGACTCCACTTGACTCTGAGAAAGGTAATACCTTAGATGTTTAAAAGGAATGAATTATTCTCACGTCTCTGGAATGTCAGAGGTTTGACGTTAAGCGGACGCACTTTGGCACTGTTTTGTGCAAACTCAGTGTTAACAGTAGATAACAGTCGTATAATGGAAGGAGACATTCGAATTTCCATGGGCGACACTTTTAGCAGCAAATTAGTTGCTTTTGTCTCCGTGATAGTACGCATCTCGATCCCGATATTCATCGGTTTTAACACCTGTGGAATAGCACAATGTGTGAAAAAAAAACAGAAAATTTCAAAGTAAATCCGATAATTGGATAAAGAAGCTGGTTAAGAAATGAATTTACACGTGATACATCAAACTGAATAAAGAGAAGAATTAACCTCATAAGTGACTTCGTGTCTTCGCGCGGGGGCGTAATAAGAACTGAAGATAGCCAGTTTCTCGACACCACCACTCATAAGCTGCGTTGTTGAAGACTGAAATTTCATATTAGTTGCCTGGTGAAACAAATGGGAAAACAGAAGATTCTGCTATACATAATTGATGGTAACTTACCGGTCGAGCTTCCATTCTCATGTTAAACGAGAGAATTAACGCTTGTGAGGTCTCCGGTTGCATAGAGTTCTCGACCAGTATCACTTCTACTCCCTGTGATAAATGGAAATCAGCAAAAGTAATCCAGCAGTAAGAGAATGGGAAAAATACCTATAAAATCTTACCTGCATATCACAGTCGAGCGCAGTACTGCTGACACCACTGTCTGAATTGGTGGCGGTTGTTTGCGAAGATTCTAGTTTTTGAGTCGCCCCCGAAGACCCCAGTGATTCCATTTCGCGATCAATTTGTTCTTGTGTCTTGGTGACAGTAAAGAATTGCAGGAGAGAGCCCAAAAATTCCGGACATAAACATATGAAGAAGGCTGACATCCTCAATTTAACTGCAATGCAGAAAATTAAGAACGGCATGAACAATGAAAGACAAAGTTGACACATCACTTCTTCTCAACTTCACCCACTATTCTTGTTCTGTACAGCGTCTTGAGAAAACGCGAGAGTGAGGAAACGATGGGTGTCACTAGGATTTTTCTTGTCGAGTAATTGATGAATTTTCGTTTTATCGCGACGTTCATCAGACATAGAAAATGTATTTAAGGACATTGCGACATCCATCGAGTTGTCTTCCTAGAAGGAACAAATCAATATACGAGAAAGCACATATGCTTGTCACATTTACTCTTACCTTGATAGAGCCGCTGAGCTTAAATTCATACAGCTTTAATGCTGCGAAAGCACTTGAAGTCTCTCGACAAGATATCGATTCAGAACCACCTAAAAAAATTCTTGATCCTACAGTCAAATCAAAGCAAGTAACTCGGAGAATACCAGTATGAAGGACAGCGGATATTCTATCAAGCGAAAACTGGAAAACAATTTTTCGTTTTGGTTTATCAGCAACAGGGGAAGTAGATCCAACCGCCTTGGCTGCACTGGATGCATCAGCAGGAGTTACAACTTTTTTCTTTTCCACTTTGCTCTGTAAAAATTCATTTTATTAGGTTGTAACATATGAAATGTCCGATTTTATTTTAATTTTCCGTGCAATTTCTTAAACAGAAATTTCGTTCTTTATGTATGTTCAATATGTATTTTTGAACCATAAAGTCTGCTCTTTCTATATCTTGTATTGCTTTCCCTCAAAATTTAAAATTTTAATATTTTTGCAGACTTTAACTTTAGCATGAATCAACGTCATATTCGTGTCTCTTTTTGTACGAGTGGGAAGAGTAGACATAACGCCTCGGCAAGAGCTTGGAATATCATCAAGTTTGGGGTAAAGGTTGTATTAGTGAATCAACAGTGTGCACACGGTTCCGGAAATTCCGATCTCATGATTTTGACCTCGAAGCTAAAGAAGGTCGCGGACGTCTCAATGCACTTGACGACGGAGAACTGAAGGTACTAGTAGAAGCAAACACATGAACAACTGCTCGAGAGCTTGCACAAAAGCCTGGCCTAAACACAGGAACAATTTTCACTCATTTGAATCGCATAGGAAAGACAAGAAAACTCGACAAGTGGGTGCAGCACGAATTAAACGATGATGAAAAAATCGCCGTTTTGAAGTGTCGTCTGCTTCTATTCTTCTCAACAAAAACGACGCCTTTCTTGATCAAACTATGACGTGCGATGAGAAGTGGATTCTGTACTACAATCCGCGAAGTTAAGCTTAATAGTTGGACTGCGATCAAGCTCCACAGCACTTCTCAAAGCCAAAATTGCACTAAAAATAGGTTATCGTGACCGTTTCGTAGTCTGCAGGCGGGCTGACTCATCACAGCTTTTTGAATCCGGGCTAAACGATTACGGCAGAGAAGTATTGACAACAAATTAATGAAATGCACCGTGAACTTCAACAACAACGATTGTCAGTCAACAGACCAGACCAATCCTTCTGTACGACAACGCGCGGCCTCACGTTGTGGAAACAGCGCTGCAGATGTTGAACGAGTTGGGCTACGAAACTTTGCCTCATCCGCCATATTAACCAGACGTATTGGTCATCGACTATCACCTGTTTAAGCACCTTGAAAACTTCCTGGGTGAACAATGCTTCACCAATCACGAAGACGGAAAAAATCTCTTCAACGAATTCATCGCTTCAAAAACTCCAGAATTTTAAGCAACTGGAATAAATAAAATTAGTTGCTCCTTGCTGGAAAAATGTACTAACCGTAATTGTGCTTATTTCGAGTAGTAAAAGTTTACAGAAAAGCTATGGTTATTTAAAGCTTAGATTTAAAATCGGACATTTCATATGTTACGACATAATAAATAATAAGTGGCTAGAATAGTAAGAATACGCCTCACCGTCGCCGTTGGTTCAAAAGATCGCTTCGTTATTAAGTCATTCACAGTATCAACTTCGTCTGAATGGACTGGAGGTGGGACTACCACTAACTCAGTGCCCTCAGCAAGATTCCCAGTTAATGTCTACAAAACAAAAAATCCAGTGTAATATAATTACACCAATTGAGCAAAAACGAAGAACCATTTCCAAACCAATATGAGAACAAAGCAAGCAAACAATAAAAACACACGGGGTTATACCTGCATCAGAGTTTCGTAGTCGTGATCGGACATGCTCACGGAGAGTGATGGAATTTGAGCATCCACTGTAGTCTCTGGCAAATCTTTGATTGCTGCATAAACCAAGTTCCTCAAAAAATTCTTATCATAACTCTAAAATAACACCCTATACGAGTTGGAAGCAAAACTAGGTAGCCTCTAATTACTAGCAGCAAACAAAAATCTATTTCCAAATTGAATTAGGAGCACTACATTGGATACGATCAATTACATATCCAATTGGATTAGCTCACCTGTGAACAGCGATATTAAACGATAACGGTTCCAAAATGTCGCATAGCGCGAGCAAATTTGATGCGTCCTCGCTAACGAAACCTCTGAATGCATTGAATATTAGAGATGTAGCATTCCCTGTGAACAACTGGGAACCAGAGTTATGGCCAGAAAGGTTTAAAGCAACACTAACATTCCGAATTTCATATCCATGAGCTTCACTTCCATATGGTCCATTATAAGTTTCTGGTTGTTTTTGTCACCGCCTATGTGGTTGCTGATGATAAGTTTTCCTAGATACGGACGATTTATTCTAGATTATTTATGTTTAGGACCTACAAACCGAGAACTGGTGTTGAGCATACCGAGTATAAACACTAGAACATTGCGCCTGGTGGATAGCTGTGGCAGCAAAATCACAGGAGCTTCAAGCACTACATCCAGTAGAATACGGGGTGGTGATTCAGCCATTATCTGTTTTACATTCTCCGCGGCTTCAACAGCCTTTTCGGACGCAACCTTGACAAACGTGGAAATAAAAGTATAAAATGGTTTACAGGAAACTAAATCAGTCAAACGTTCCGAGTCTCAACGGAGAGCAACAAAAGCAAAAAAAAAACGTACTGCCTGTGCAACCGCAGCAGCACGCGTTGCCTGCTCATGGAATGGTGCCATCCATGCCATTAATCTACATAGCCACAAATTAAGAAATACGAAGCGCATCTCTGCCAGTCGCACCTAAATTTTGCTTACCTGCACTTTATAATACATGAAGGACACCCTAAATTTTTAAAAAAATCATCTAATAACTAATAAAAGGTTAGTCGAAAATAAAGAACATTTATCAATCTCGTGTAAGCCTATCAGAGAAAGAATACATATTGGTTAGTAATACCGAGGTTAAAGGAAAGTCGGCTTTGAAATATCTAGTAACTGTTTTGAAACAGTAAAAGACTTGCTTTAACGCTCATGTCGACGTCTGTAGGTAACATGTGCTTCTTATGATGTTCATCTCTCTGGTACTGAGTTATTTCAACCCTCAACATCTCCTTTTCGCCAGTAACAGAAAGAAGCTTTCTGAAACAATGAGATTTCGAAATAAAACTCGCTTCGAGACATTTCAGAGATCGCACTTATATAGTGCTCCTACTGTCATGTCTTCCATTTTAACTGTCCTGAGCGTCGCTACAACATTCATGGTCTCTGCGGTGATCTTCGTACCAACTCGTATCTACATTGGAAATAAAACGCTTCTCATAGGTGAATAAGAAGTATAAAATGAGCAAAGGGCAACTGCATACATTCAAAGAATGGAACTAACATTTTCAATTGCGATTAAGGTGTCCAGTGCAGATTGTGTTCCGATTGCAATAGCCAGGCTACCAATAGTGGACTCCAAATGCATTTTGATAACACGATGCCGTAGTTCATTCCTTTCTCCCAAAGCTGTTGATTTACCAACACTCTTCTTTTTTGCGGCAGTCCCAAGAGATTGCTGTTTTATGGCTGTCAGAGATGCAGTACTGAAATGAGAAGGAATCAACATAAATTAGAATTGTCTACACAAATATAACTATAATGGTGATGAGATATCTGCGAAACTCCGGATTGCTGGTGTCTGCGGTGATAACCGAACACGCTATTACTCCTAAGAGGGACTAACGCGTTCACCACAACACCATGCGAGCCCTTCGTTTCGTCTTTTTCTCCGCCGTATTATCTAGACAAAATTTATGTGACACTATAAACAAAGCCGTTTCAAACGTTTACGCACCTGGCACTTAGTTGACGGCTAAGCTTGCGAGTACCGGTTTCGATTGTTTCTTCGATTCGTTTCCTAGCGCCCTCTTGGAGTGCGTTTAGCTCGTTTTGCATGTTTTCTGCGAACCGTTTCAATTCCACGAGGCCCTCCTTAAACACTGGAGATGAAAAAACACTGAAAATGGTTAAGATGACCCGATTACCACCAACCTGGTGAAGCGATATATCTAAACTCCTGAAATGAAACTCGATAGCTTGTTCTGTGCAGTGGTATTCCGTGACGAAGAAAGGTGATTCAGGATTTGCCTTTAATTCTTAACATTCTGGACATTCCAGTTATCCTCAATGAAGTCAAGATTTTGCTATGCACTAAGAGATCTCAACAAAATCATACCTGTACTAACTTAAAACTAATTAACGAGGCTTCTTCTGTGTTACTGTCAATAAAATAAAGGCAATTCTTTCCTGGATTCAAAGGCTTGAACATCGGCATTGCAAACCGAACAGCACCAAGCTGAACAATAGAAGGAAAAGATGACAAGGAAAAAGGCAAGGACAAGTATTAAAATAGCTTTTATGCTTATTGCGTAGACCGTTCGAAAGCATTTTCTACAGATTTTTAAACTTGACCATCTAATAGCTTACACTTCTCCTTTAAGGTAATCAAAATTATTACCCACCCAATGCTTAACTAGTATTATATCCACTATGGACAGTTTTCCGGACAGTTCAACCATCCACGGTAGCAACCATCCTACAAGTTTTTTGAAAGTATCTTTCCCTTGGAAAATAACTGGAGCTCAGCTCGCACTAACTTAAAGCTTTTGCAATCGCCTCTCCACTCTAAGAATTTTAACGAAAGCACGGAAATTTAAATGCAAATGATAATATTTGTAATTGAAGGCAACCCTCGAAACCTACCTACACTTCAGTTCCTTAACATTTCCTTGTGGGAGGTGCATAACAGTGTCATTTAGCGAATATAATTAGATATAGGCATATTATTAAGAAATAACAAACCTCAGCTATTACGACCATATCGAAAGCACGAAGTTGCAATTTACAACCCATTCGTATAATGGAAATGTTGCAAAAAACATCATCACCGCGTAGAATGACAAGACCAATCTGAATTACTCTTGCCCCAAGAACTGATTAGTAAAAACCAAGGTATAAAGTTTTAACTAATATCAGCACTATCGAGATGCAATGTTAAACTCCTGTTTCTCACAAAAATGAGTGAGCAAACAATTTTACTAGCGTATATATTGATAGTCCTACCAACGGTTTAGCGCCTCATCGTGATTAGGAGGTATTCTTAGGTGTCAGACTGTGATGTACAGCGAGGGAATTCGTCCTGTTGACAGAGTCTCCCAATCCGAGAAGAATTCTGGCGTTTCCATCAGGAAGCCTAACTAAGATTAAACCAATGTCAGGATCCACTACCGCCCTGGTATCAAACTAGTCGCATGATGACAAGTCTCCCTCTATCCACAAGGGTTGCGACTGTCTGTGATGTGGTGGTGACGACCTGGAGCAGACTTTAGCCAAACTTTTCTCGGGACTCCAGGGAACCACAATGGTTAATTTGGCAAACCTCCGGAGAAGGGAAATTATGCTGGGTACCGCGCTACGTGTGAAGACGGGCCATTCCAGTATCCAAGTAAGTATATGTTGATATCCATAAATAAGAGTAGAATGTACTGGACAGTACGCATGATTTCAACGCGCTCTTTTACGTATTCCTTTCACCGTCACCGTATGGCCTTAGCTGCAGCTATCAGGACTCCGTGCAACACTAAAGTCATAAAAGAGCGGTTTTTATACGAGTTTCTTGGGTAGAAAGAGGAAATGTGGTTGAGAAGTATGGTAGGACATCAACCACCAAACAGATCTTCAATGATGAAGAGAATGCAAAGATATTCCTACGTGGACAAACGACTCATCGTGTTTTCACGAAATATCGCAGGAATTAAGAAGGTGCATTAAAATACCTACACATTTTTCATCTTGTACGACCCATCTTCCGCACTGACTATGCAGATCTGAGCACTGTTTGCACTCGACCGGTCCCTTGCACCCACCATCAACGAAGGTCTTGCAACTTTTGAGTATGGGTTCGGCTACTAATGGAGGATCTTCCTTTCCCCGTGTAAATCGTTGAATGCTGGTCAAAGCCGTTCTCGTTGGAGTAACATATCTTGTGAAATGTCCTACCAAAGCCGGAGAACGCAAAAGTTGCACGGTCGATCCCACTTCCTTCATAACACATAGGAAATAACTTCCGAAAGCATTAAAAGATATACAATCATTCAAACGCATGGAAAAGCAGAGTTCAAATATGGATTTGGCAAGAACATGAAGATCTGTAGACTGCTCTCCCTATCAACATGCCGCATTCTGGTCTGACATGATTTTTTTTCTGAACTTCTGATATACTCCCTCTATGATGCACTTCATCTCTCACCACAGGCATTTTTTTAGATCAAAAGAATATTTCCTGCTTACAAACTTCAATTCTTCCAGGACAGCGACGATTACTGCGACTGCAAACAAATCCAGCGATTAGTGAAAGTGCCCGAAGACGCTGCCAATGGTTCACCGCCTCGTCGTGGCTGCGAGCGTTTTCCTGGGTGTCGGGCTGCGATGTACAGTGGTGGATTCATCCCCTTGGCAGAGTCTCACAAGCTAAGAAAGAGTCCAGGGTTTCCATGAAGAGGCCCAGCTAAAAGTAAACCAATACCAGGATCCACCACCGTCCTGGTATCAAACTAGTCCCTTGACGGGAAATATCCCTCTGATCCACAAGGGCGGCTACTGCCTATGGTGGTGAAGACGTGGGACAGGGCAGACTTTGGCGAGGGTGACTTCGGGACTCCAGGAAACTACAATGGCTAGACCTGTAAAACTCCGGAAAATGGGAAATTGTGCTGAGGCCCGCACATCCAGTGAAGACAGGTCAACTAAATGTCCGTAAATGCCCGCAGACTCTGTTTCAAATCGAAACGCAAACAGAGAAATGGGTGTAGCCGCCATTGGATGCAAACAGGTTAGATTCATTGATAATGGTGAGGAAAAGGTTATATATGGGCGTATTTCAGTTACATTGAAGTAAAAAAAAACTGCAAAGCCAAATAGAGATGAAGTGCAGACCTGATTTAAGTGGAGGTCTAATTCAACTTGAACCTGCTGCTCACTTGTCTTCGATTTCTCGTCCTCCGACTTGCTTGAATCACGTCCTTGGTTGTCAGTGGTTTCCATCTAATAAATGATATTAAAACGATGTAAACATACTAGACACTAAATGAACGTGGTATAACGAAGGAACCAGTTTTTAAGAAATTCAAATTGAATTTCATAGAGTGATTTCATATGTGGACAAGGAAAAATTGAGGATCCAACACCACGACAGTTGAAAATGTTCACTAGTACCGCAACGATAGCAGGGCATTTTCCACAGTCTGATCTAAATTTTGAGCGGGACTGTCACTTTAGTACATAAAAAATCACTAAAGCGCCAGCAAAACCTTTAAAAATTGGAATATTATTCACAATTCTTCTTCCAAGCATATGCTTTTGGGTATCAAATTGTGATATCTTCGCAATTTCATGTGTATTAGCTGCTGTATACATGAAGTAGTACACGAAATGTATACTTTCTGCCCATAAAAACGAGTGTGGCGCAGTAGTCGGAGGCAGCTTGCAACACACACATGGGATCGACCTCCGAGCCCATGGACCACTGAGCCTTCCACCCCACCGGAGTCGGAAAATTGGTACTAGACTTATATGATAGTATAGCAGCACTGGTTCGACACAACTGTAGGCCACTGCAAGTCATTGTAAAGGCCGGATATGTATACAATCACCTCCGAACGATGCTTAATGAAGTCGAGTGCAAGGCGCATCCTCAGGGATTTACCAACGACGACAGCTTTTTCCTTTATTTTTATCTTTTATACCCATAGGCCCAAATGACTCCCCCATATCATGTGAATCACACTGCACATTACTGGCTTCATTTCCGATCATTTGTAGAGTCGTAATTCACAAAAATCACCACGTCCACGAAAATAGCGCTTCTAAAGGCCACACGCATATTCAGTGCTGTCCATGAGGATCCACTCTGATTACCTCTATGCAAGTTGTGCTTTATCAACGTGAAGTTTCACTGGTATTCCGCCCCAGATGAGTTTCTCCTATGCTGATTCAACACACATCCTTTAACTGCTAACGAAACAGCCGAAAATAACTAATTGAACGACAGAACACGTAGCACATAGCTGAAATTACCGTTTCATCCACTCTTACCGATTTTTTTCAAACCATCTGTCTTGCTGCTGTATAGTATCGGCGTTGCACACCGTTCCCTTGATCATATAGGATGGATAGAAGAGCCAACGATAGTTGAACTCAGAATTTATATTTAAAAGGTGTGTACAATTTTATTTTTTATTATCAATAGGGTAGCATTCGTTTCTACACTTCTAAAGTTGCTCTGAAGAAGGCGAAACCGCCGAAACGTCAGCAATTGTGTTCTAATAAATTCTATATTAACAACCTCGTGTCTGCTTATTGATGAAAAACATTGAACTTCTAAAGTTGTTTGAAGAATAGTGATGGAATACCGATGGATAACAAATTTAAGTAAACCGACAGCGAACCGTGAGCTTTGATAACCATGATTATGAGTGCAATTTGAACATTTGCGGAAAGAGTCTCTAATGGTAAGTCTCCAGGAATATTTTTTACAATGGACGTCTCCATACCTCGGAATAATCAACATCTTGGATAGATAACCTTGCACAAGGATGTTATAAAAAATTTTCTACTGTGACTAACGTTTCAATGTCCTGTCCTTTTTCAACATCGAAATAGTTCGGGTCGACTTTCAACAGCGGTTATTCCTAGCAATGAGTGATTTTTTGTGGCTGCGTTAAGTTAAATCGAGTGCAACGAAATTTGGCACAAATGAAACCACGTGATTCTCCTAATGGTCTGAAGAAGGTGATGACGCGGACACGTCAGACACCATAAGAAGTTATTTATAGCAACATCGCATAAGATGAAAAAAACGTCAATTGTTCAAGCCAAGGTTAAATGAAAGTAAAAATAATACTTCGATCTCTGCTAGCTAACACCATTATCCCGACGTTTTAATGGTGGATCATCCTCATGAAAACCATTTTGAATAGACAATCACTCATGAACCATCCTCTACAAAATCACACTGCCAAGTGAATCCATTCACAAAATTGCATTCGATTCGTTGCGAGTGTGAAGAAGTACACATCACAAAGAGAAAGTGCTCAGATAATAATAAAAAGGCTAAAGCTCTCAGCGTTGATCAACAACCCCTCAAGGATGTGACATGCATTCGACTTCATTAAGCATCATTTAGAGGTGACTGAATGCATATCTGGCTCTTTTCAGTGACTCGCGGTGGCCTACCGATGTCTTAAGCCAGTGCTGCTATCCTCCGAGACAAGTATGGTAGCAATTTGCTGACCCCGGACGATGGAGGGCTTGGTGGGCCAGGAGTGCGGGAATGGATCCCATGTGTATTGCAGGGCGCCTTCGAACACCGCGCCTCACGCGCCCTTTGTGCTGTGAATACACGATTCATATCACTGCGACTCTGAAGAGGAGTACGGCTTCGCAAAGTCAGTCAGAATAAAAAGTTACTGGTAACAACCTAGAGTAATTTTACCAGTAGAATAAAATAATCTCCAGAAAAGTTGTGGATATCTTACTTAAGGAAATGGAACAATCATTCAATTTCGTTTTAAAATCCTCTCTTTTGTATCGATATCGATAAATCGTGTAACTAGACCACGGTATCTTTGTAGACTTAAACATATCCTAAGATGTTTTCAAGACTTAAAAAAAGACATAAAACCCGGTAGAATCGTTAACAATCAAAAAATCTTCGTCCCTAATGCATCAATATGATATATTAACATGGAGAAAAAATAATATACTTCACTAATAGTTTTAAAGCAGTTTTCCGAAACATTCTCAGCGATCTAGATAAACAGAACTATTGTTACTGGGAAGGAATCTTAAAGGAAGTTGTAAATGTATAAAGACACAGCCAGTTAATTTCAAACCATGCTTAACGTCGTACCCAGCTTCTTTCTCTCTAACATTTGGTCCGTCCTCGCAAAAATTCTCGCGGTTTCAACCGATTAGTTGGACAAGATGTTGACATTAACGCTGATGAAATTTAAGCGTTAATGGAACAGCTAGTGGCAAGTGGTGAATAAGAAATCACCTATGATCCTACATAACAATTTCATGGAACGGTCTACATCTCAGTGAAAACTAGTGGCTGGTAAATCAACCATGAGCTCAAGCAGCCACATACAGCTGCAGAAAAGGTACCAACAAAGCCCACCTCCTGTGCTTCCATTATAGTCTTCATTTTGGCACGAGTTGCGATATCTGCATTATGCACGACTTCACCCACGCTTGGCGGCTCCGGATCTGGCTCAGGAGTTGGAATAGATAGCAGCAATCGAGTCAGTTCCAACACTCGAATGTCCGACATCGTGACAAGTATGTCAGGTAAAGCACCAATCACCCGTATTCTGCATGAGGAAGCACATTGCCTTGCTTATAAGTAGAACATAAGGACTCAAAAATAGAAACCTCGGAAGTCTCAAGTCGTCTATTGAGCACTTGTGTATTTCAATATCGAGTCCAGTTGGTTTTAGAATATGCATAGGACTGTTTGCATCGGCCAGTGCCGCACATCCTTTCGTCACATTCTGAACAAAGGATGATGAGTACAAGGTAGCGATATCTAAATGCATATTTACATAAACATACTTCGGCAAAGGAAACAACAACATTGCTCAGTTTTACTCGAAATTTATCGTACGCCTTATCCATGAGCTGGTGAAGTTTATCTTTTTCCTCAATTATTTTCTGAAAAACTAATGAATGTTATATAACTCGGGATATTGCATTCTGATAGCAAACAGATTTCACAATAACTGCTCAGTGCACTGCTGAATCATCACGCCGGTTTAAAACTAATGACAATTTTAACCGCTGTGACAAAAAAATTAACTACTTCCAATCAGAACTGTGAAGAAATTATGTACAAACTAACAGGATCTCCTTCCACTGTAGTAATACTGAGGTGACCTAGATCGGCCATAATGGTAGGTTTCTCCACGTTGTAAACTCCGCCTTCAGAAATGAAAATAGTGGTAGGTTGTATTTGAATATCCAAAACAAGACGAGATCGGTTCTCAACGGCATGCGCCAGTCCAGTCACAGAACGAGCTTTAACCTAGAAAAAGCACTAGGCACTCTTAGCGGTTTGACAACAAAATTATGAATTACTTCAGCATTATACCACACCTCTTCGTATCGAGACATCGCGGCTGCAGCTAACTGATTTAGCTTCACTGACTCAGGAGGTTTAAACACCTGCAAAACTGGTGCGATCGAACTAATGAAAGACAGAAGATAGAAGAGAGCAAACGAAACAAATCAAGTAAAATCCCACATCGACAGCATGATTTACTGCAGGGGCATGGTACTTGAAACTTAAGGGAGCAATTGCCAGTTGCACAGATTGGTCGTATTTTCCATGAAGGGGATGAGTATCCACTACAAGAACTAGCCATGCCCTCGAAGAATCACGTACTCGCAACATTTCCTGTCCATCGCCATCCATTTTTAGTTCTCGTATCGTAGACCGCAAACTAAAAAGTGCTATAATAGATCGGCTGTTTTCAGAAAAATAGAAAAAAAAAAAGAAATCACTTACTTCATAGCATTTGCGCTAGGTCGTTGTTCCGCATGAGCCCTTAGATCAAGGAAATTAAGTGCAACAGCATCATCTACGATAATTGCCACCTTAATACGCAATAAAATGAATCGGCTTCAGTTCTACAATTGTGTTTCACACGTACCTCTCCTAGACAGAAATCAACCCTGTTTTCAACGAACTCTTTTGGATAATTGGTAGGTGGGATATTTTCCTGCAACATCAAACTACTACTGACAAATATTTATTCAGAATATTCGTAAAAATAAATCTTAAAACAGAGCACTGATTCGGCACCTGGTAGTCAATTGCCTCGAAAAGCTTTTCCTTTTCCTCTGGAGTCATGGCCTCATTGAACTGAGAAGCGAAGTCCTTCTTCTTAGTAGTCGGCGTGTTTGTGTTCTCACCACCACCACCACCACCACTGAACCTGGAATAACAAAAGAACTAATGATGACCTAAATAAAAATAAAGAGCAATATTTTAGCGGATTTTCAATAACATGAAACAAACATGACTCATTCATGCTCAAGCATGACATTTCAAAGAACCCCCAGATTTCACTCCCACAAAAAAAAAACAAAAATTTTCGATCTATTGCTTGACAAAGTTGTGATTATCTAAACACCGTTAACGTCATTTCTTTTCTTTCGTTATTGGTCTTCGAGTATCGAGGAGCGAAGCGATCTAACAAGTTGGATTCAGAGTGCTATGATGCGCTAATGCATCACTGATATCACTGCGTGCTACATTTGCGTTCACAATTCTAAAGATTCCACTCATTTTTTAAAGAGACAAATCCAAACTGAAAAGAGTACACTGCTTACTTACTTGGGTACATCGACGACCCTTTCTGGTTGATTGTGCAGGCCCTAGCATATTCTCCATTTCCGGAATTTTTTTGGCCTAGCCATTGTGGTTCCCTACTGCCCCGAGGTCAGCCTAGCCAAAGTGTGCCCCAGGTCGGAACCACCACAAGGAGCCTTTTTGGATCAGAGAAAGATTTACCACAAGCGACTAGTTTGATACCAGGACGGTGGTGGATCCTGGCTTACTCCTAGCTGGGCTTCCTAATGAAAACGCCGGACTCCTTCTCAACCTAGAAGACCCTGCCGACAGGATGAATCCCCCGCTATACATTATAGCCCGACACCCAGAAACACCTCCCACCCACGATGAAGCGGTAAACCGTTGAGAGAAAAAAGAGTACACCAGAAAATTAAATGTATACTTTTTGAGCTATAAGCAGGTACTAAGGATCTCTGGTAATCCAATTATTAAAAATAATCAGCATCGTCGCGAATGAGCTAATTGAAATTCTGTAGCCATCTAAATCAAGGCACGACATCTTGCTGCCTAAAACGACTCTCACCAACTTGCACCCCAGGAAAGCCAACCCTGAGGTTGATCTTCTACTCTCTTCAATCCCTTCCGATCGACATCCATCTCAGCTTGTTGTCGTGCAACATTCAAGTTAAACACGTCCAGATTCTCCTCCGCCTTCTAAATTTGATACATACAATTAGTGCCATACAGCAAGTAATGAACGGGTACCAACCTTAACAATGTCCATTACTGAAGAGCTCGGATTTCTCTCTGTAAGACATTTCAACCATGCGTCCCGATAGTCACGAACAAGCTTCCGATGTGTGCGCATCCTTGGCCATGACCAGTTATTTCGCCGTCGACGTACTTTTTCCTCGAGGATAGCAGTATAAGCAAAAAGCCACCTGAAAATATTGGTGTAAAAACCGATCTTATCTCTTTCTTCACCGATTTTTTAATGTTAAAATCAAATATCTACCATTCTTTGTAATGTCCTTTAAACTCGTTGATGTTCGGTCGATACTTTAAGTACTGTGTCGCCAGATTGAATCTGAAAAATTGTAAAGTAGGATAAATATTACTTAGGAAGTTATTTGGAAAAAGAATCCATTGTAACCTTTCTTGTGCTTCAAGTAATAATAAAATATCTTGGTATTGATATTTACCAATAGCCAGCACCAGCGTCTTCATATCAACACTTAGATCTACCTAAAACAACAGCACGAACACTAAACATAGGAGTTTTACAAGATATAAAGTAATCCGATTTCACAAACCTTTGGAATTTTCCAATTTGTTCCATCAACTTCTGGCTTTTGATTTAGTTTCAACTTAGCTTCCATTTTTATTGGCTTCAAAACTAAATTTGACCATTTCATAATACGGCAAGGTTCCCGTTGTTCTGTTGTGGTCCCAATTTTAAAAAAGACTGCCCTGTATAGAGTAAACTGCTCTACATCCTATGGCTACAATTACTTCCTTGGATACTTGGATGGTCCGTTCTCAATTTTTCGGAGTTTCACTAGTTTAGCCGTTGTGGTTTTCCGCTGTTCCCAGGTCAACCAGGCCAAAGTCTACCCCAGGTCGTGACGATCACAGGCAGTCGCCGCTCCTGTGGATCAGATGGAGATTTACCACCATGCGACTAGTTTGGTAATAGGTCGGTGCTGGATCCCGGTATTGGCTTACTCTTACCTGGGCATCTTGATGGAAATGCCGAACCACTTCTCAGATTGGGAGACTCTGCCGGGGGAATCAATCTCCCTGCTGTGCATCACAGCCCGACACCCAGGAACACCTTACAGCCACGACGAGGCGGTAAACCGTTGGCAGGCATCCTATGGCTATACATTCAATAGAATGTAACTCACTATATTTGTAACCGAGAGGCCCATCTTTTCCATTATGTATGGTGGCTTTTAGCTCCCTTCGAATTTGCACCTTGTCTTGGATGTCAGAAAACAATTTCGAATCTGAATTCCAGTAAACCGAAAGACTGCTAAGCAATACGAGTTTGTGGAAAATCTTCACAACATCTCGATGAACAGTCGGCACCCAATTCTCATCTGTGGTCTGAAAAGCAACACAAAAAGTTTGGGCATAAGGAGCGGAACCAGATGTATCCATTCCAACAACAATGTAGCTTACCTGGAAGTCCAATCTCTCAAGAGAGACTCCAGCCACAAAAGGACGACGCCTATTAGTATATTTGTCTTCGAAACGGATATGTATATTACTCACGGTAACCTTGAAAAACGTACATATAAAAGTATAAATACATATAAAAGGATAAATAAAGGATAAAGCTCCCGGCGTTGATCAATCCCTGAAGCATGCGCCATGCTTTCGACTTCATTATGCAACGTTGGAGGTTATCGAATGCACATCTGGCCTTTACAATGATTCGCGGTGACCTAGCGATGTGTCGAGCCAGTGGTGCTATCCTCCCAGATAAGTCTGGTACCAATTTGCTAACCCCCGAGGGATGGAAGGCTTGGTGAGCCTTGTGCAAGGGGATCGATCCCGTCAGTATTACGTGGCGCCTCCGACAACTGCGCCACACACGCCTGACACAGATACGTATAAAATATCCAAAGAAATATTCGCAGTCATAGATGACTAGTGATAATTATACAAACCTGCAAATTTTTGATGACCTGAGTGACCATTTTTTCAACGAAGGAATCTTGATTGGGATCTGGCGGTTTCCGACGATTTTTACGCGCTTCCTCAAGACGAGCGAGGGTTTTTTGCTTGATATCTGCCGCATTCTTCTTTGTCTAAAATATTGCTAAATAGGTGGCCAGCTAATAACCATAAAAAATAAAGACGGGTATGAAACAAGTAGAGAATGATGATGTCCTACACTATGAATGCGTTAGTAAAGTACGAAAGATGAACGAAGGAAAATATGTCCGTAATATTAAGGAGGAAAAGACTATTCTACTGGAAACCTGAAGAAGTCGACAACATTGGACGCAAGTCCCAATTCTCTTTGCTCTACTAGGCCAATGAAAAGTGTAAATCAACGATTCCTTCTAAAGAACGACTACTGGAGAGCAACAGATTCAAAACGGGTAGAGGTTTGGCGAAGAACATACTTTTTCTTCGTCGTAAACAACGCCTTTGTTGGGAACCACGATAAGGTATAGCCCATCTATCGTTGCTATGACAGGCTCATTGTACAGATTTTTCCATGGAATCTTAAGCACTAGCGAAGATAAGTAGCCGAATTTCAGCTTAACAGGAAGGTCGAGATCATCGAGAGCAGTTTCTTTAACTTCGAGATTTTCCAACTTCACATCACCTAAAAGATAGTGTAAGGACGAGTATATAAACAACAGCAGAGGTTACAAGTGCATATACTAACACAACGTTAGACAAAGTCACAAGTTTTGCACCGGAGAAAGCCACTAGTTTTGGACCGCAGTTTAGAACAGAGTATAAAACCTGAAGTACTGACAGACCTCCCCAGATTCCGATATTGAGCTGTGAAGCATCGAGATTGTCGACGAAGTCACCGAGGAAGCGATTCAGAAGGTCAGCTACAAGGGACTCAAACACCATTCCGGCGAAGTCCGTTCAGCATGAAACTGAAACTGTTCACTGATCGTATATGTCTGAAATGTCAACGACGGGAACAATTGTACTCTGAATAGGATGGGAAAGATCAGTGACGAAATCGATTGAAGGAATGGACGAAAATGACTCATATCGGCAGCTATTTCATTCTGAATACATGTGAATACGCAAAACTATTTGATACGGAAAGAACTGAAGCTGGTCCAGGTTTATGCATTGAGAATTTTTACCCACATCACTCTCAACTAACATTCATGTGACGCATTCGTACATGATACAAACAACAAACGAGTCACAAACTTCCGAAAAAAAAGAAAACTAGAACCAGATGGACAAATTTAGTGCGCCTTCTTCACTTGAACAAACAGTTTTGGATACAAGATAGTTATTTAGAATGAGAAATTCGACTTTCTTTTCAAGAATAACTGGGTATTTCAACTTTAACTCTTGGTGAGTAATAGGGACACGCCGATTATTTCGAGACATTAGGTGCTTTCCAACGCTGACAAAACAAAAAATGGCTCGTAGTAAAACAGTAAAACAGTTGGAGTAAAACATAACCTAAAAAGAAAGGATTATGAGCTATCTTATAGTACACTCACAGTTTCATTCTGGTCGGGTCTAAAGCCTAATAGAATTGGAGAAGAAGCACCTGCATAGGTCTAAGATTAACAAAAGGCTCGCTCAGGGTTCTCCTTCGGCGGCACCCCTGGGAAATAGAAATAAAGAGCTGTATAGGGCCCTGTTCACATTGTTAAAATGCAGATTCTACGCATTAAAGGCTATGGAAAACGAAGGAAAAGCAAAATGTCTTCTCCAAACCAATACATAATTTTGCATGTTCTATATTATCATGTATTATATTATGTATTTACCTACTACATTTATAAAAGTAAACGACATTAAATATAAGTGTTTAAGAGAATGTAAGTGGGCGCACAGTTCTCACAAGCGTTGAAGGTTCGGTGATTCCCGGAGCTCAGAGATGCTTCATTCGAGCTCCACCTTCGCCTAAGATATTGCCAGTTAGGAAACACAATATATTACGAATAATAAGTTCATGGACTCGATGATGGGACGTCTACCGGTTCGCAACAACAGGAAATCGAAAGTACAAGGTGTAACCTCCGACGCGCGTTCGGGTCGCGCCCAATGACATTGGGCTAGAGTGAAGCGCTCATTCTGGTGCTACAACTACCAGTTCAGTTCCGAGTAGTACCAGCTAACAAATATAACAATGAATATTTTAAAACCGACTTTCCTTTAACCTCGGTATGACCAATCAATAAATAATCCTCTTTTGATAAGCTTCCACGAGGTGGATAATTTAGAGGGCGACGGTGATAATCAACCAGCTGCAAGCTTATCAAAGAGAGATTATATATCACAATGATTGTGATGATAACGATAGTGGAAGTGAAGACAACTTACAGGTAAATCGATGTCGTCTCGAACTCTGATAAGGTGCGGAATTTCTTGTTCGAAATCGAAAGTTCCGTGGTGGCGTGCTTTTCAGCGGTGGAGAAACAATGATTTGGTAACTGCGCGAAGTTAGTGGATCAGAAAAGGAGGAAAAACAACTGATCTACGAAGGAGATGGTAAGAAGCGATCAATCAATATCACGGACGGGAAGCTGAAGGGTTTTTGCAGAAATTAGTGGGCCCACAAAGTCTATAAAGTGACAACCATAGAAGTGTAGTGGAGAAGAATACAGAAGTACTGCTAGAAGGTTATAAGGTCACAAGGTCACAGAACGAGTTCATGAATTTCATCAGTACTACTGCCGAAGTGGGTGAGAAGAGGCCAAAAATAGGTGAAATATACTGGATGAGCGTACTAGCAGGAAGGGTCCACGTATGCGTAAACAATCAACTACGGAGAGAAATGTAAACTGTTGTGTAGGATCGGGCAGCACAACAGACACCTGAAAACATATCGTCGCTCGGCTGGCCGGCCGGCAATCACTTTGAGGCGGGAAGAGCGGCAGATTCGAAAACCACAAAGGTAACAGAAACAATTATAATGATGCTGAGATATTTGCGAAACTCCGAACCGCAGGAGTCTCGATAGAAAGCGATCTACATAGGTGATAAAAGTGGTAGACAGAAAGCTAGTTGAGAGACAGACGAATGACCTGCGCGATGTGGTGGTGAACCTGTTAGCCCCCGGAAAGGTCGCGTTCGATTCCCACCAAGGACACCTGCGGTCCGGAGTTTTCCAAACATCTCAGCATCATTGTGGTTGAACTTCACACAGTATCCTATCGTGAAAAATTGTAGTAGGCAGCAAATGAAAAGTTAACATTGTAATGTAAACATTTGGTGCTTAGCTCTGTTTCAGAAATCCTGAATGTGACGCATCATCTAATAGACGTAACGGGAATACCGGTGTCGGAAAATGCAATATAGGAGACAAGTGACTGAAGGCACGAAGGAATTGAAGCCGTCTTTGAATCAACCTGGTACTGAAGAGGAAGAGCCATCACCAATCCCAACGGGGTTTGAAGTGAGTTTGTTGAATTCAAAGGAATAAATCTCGCCAAGACAGTAACGTACTAGTACACAGAAAGTTTACTGCGAAGCATAAGATCCGTCGTGAAAACAGATGTGTCAGATATTTAGGTAAGCGTGAACGAGAACATTCTTTTAACACATTGTCTTACAAGATGTTAACGCTTGGGAGAATAAACTATGGTCAAGTGACTTTCGGTAGTTTTTGGTTTCAGGTTCCTACATGCACACCCCCAATCTTCTCGTATATTGTCAATAAGCGTGTGGCGGAAAAAAAACCTGTACATTCTACAGTACTGCCAAGATTTGGTAGCTGTGACCATGACACGTACGAATTATATGTCCATAATGATGCTTACGAGAGCGCGTGGCGCAGTGGTCGAAAGCGCCCTGCAACACACACGTGGAGTCGGTTCCCCGCTCCCATGGCCCACCAAGCCTTTCATCTCTCCGGGGTCGTCAAGTTGGTATCAAACTTGTCTGAGAGGATAGCAGCACTAGCTCGACACATCGGTAGGCCACCGCGAGTCATTGTAAAGGCCAGATATGCATTCAGTTACCTCCAACGATACTTAGTGAAGTCGAACGCATGGCGCATCCCTCAGGGATTGATCAACGCCGAGAGCTTCGTCCCTTCTATTCTTTTAATGATGCTTAGATATTTGGAAAACTTGGATCCTAGTTCGGATTAAGCCCGTGACTTTCCCTTCCGGGCGCTAACGTGTTACCCACTACACCACTGAGGACCTCATTCTGGTCTGGGGCTTCACGTTTTGTAAATATCTGAATTTTACATCGTGATTTTAATAATTCTTTCTACTCCCAAGTCCGACTTTCTATTAACCTCGGCATTGATTGAATAATTCTTTTTACTGAGTGAGTCTGAGATTCTTAGTCTGACTCTGAGTCTACTGAATAATTCTTTCTGCTTAAGTCAGTTCAATGTCCATTTGTGAACGAAAGGCTTCTGTAATGCAGTGGGTAACACGTGAGCCCCTGGAAAGGGTAGTTGCGGGTTCCAATCTGGTCTGCGATTCCAATCTTGCAAATATTTCAACATCGGCTGTATTTCACATAGCACCTTGCAGGAAAAAATAAACGGTAGTAGATAAAAGTTATGTATATATGTATACATACAAGGATTTTAAAATATGAGTGCTTGACAGACTTCCAGAAGAGAATTTGATCTATCACTCTAAGGAGACGTATGATTTTTTGAAGCATTGCATCCACTTTAGCTTTACTTGAGAATCAAATCTCAATACAATCGAAAGGCCGCTTGCAAGCGCATCAGCCACATACATTTACAGTAGATTGTGGAGCGGCATGGCGCCCTTTTGGGTGAAGTGCCGCTTGTTCTGTGGTGGGTGTTTCCACGGTTCCAAGAACTAGTTTCGACGAAGAAATTGCATTCGGTGGGTTGCAAAAAGTCAGGATTTCAACTTGCTAGAACAACACATGTTCTGGCTTGTTCGCAAAGACCTGTGCACTCCAACAGTTTATATTATCACGGACAAAATTCACTGCATGCTGAGCTGTATTGGTTCAAAATTGAAAAGCTAAATGCATTCTGTGTATTCAGTGGCAGTCCAGTGGAAGGGCATGGCTGTGACTCATTGTGGTGGATGCAATGGAGGAAGGATCGATAACCACAGTCGGCATCTCTTCGATGGGGTGGCGTAGGAGAACCATGGAAACCACCTGTGCTACGACTCCAAGAGCACGCTAGGATATCCGCGTTGACCGTACATAAGGCATACTTGCTCTGATCTGAGAGGTTGTCACCGTTCTTTCCTCTATCGGTGGCCTACTTTTGCCTACTTGGTTTCCCTCCATCTCACTTAGCTGTATGTTGGAGTAATTGGTGTTCTACGGGCCTTTACTAGCCAAGAAGTCTCTTCTTTCTTTTGTCGTAAAGCCCCATGTTTATGATTTCAGAAGAATCTAGGGTTGAACTGTGTCAGGGACTGAGGAACTGAACTTCGATCGACTCCTCATCCAGAGTTATCACGAAAATGTTGACCTTGAGGACACTGATAACTCCCAGGACGCTGAGGCCTTCGTAACTCTTAGCATCTCTGTTTCAGAGGATACACAGGAAGTGAGATGGACCATGAGGCCGATGTTGTTGATGATGGCGTGGTCAATAAGTGGTCCGATTATGTGGTACTTCACGCCACTTAGCTTCTCCGCGGTAGCGAGTGTAGACTGAGTCACCATATGGTGTTTCGATGTAATGAACCAATTCATTGACCGAACCAGTAAACACGTCAATTCTTCCATTTAGTCACTCAAACATGCTTGGTGAATACATGAAAAGTCCACTGCGACGCTGTACAGAAAATTTCATGAAATGTCTCCATGATTAAGACTATTTTTTGTTTGATTCCGGACCACAGATTGTTTGCAGATACACCAGCAGTTAGTCATCTCTTGGAGGGAACTCCAAAAAGTTGAAAGGAGACTTCGTCATG